AGCTCCAAAACGGCTATTGCTTTGGATCTCTCTCTTCCCAGATCAAATCTCAAGAATGGTCTGGATTGTTCTGTTTTACCGTCACGAAATTAGATGAAGGGAATATCACTTAGAATTTGCATTCTGAGCCGTGTGGAACCGTTATCCATACTGTTGGCACAGTGGGAGTGCGGTGCAAATGTGATAACGTATGGGGGTGCTCGGAAAATTATAAAGAGCAACACGAATGTGGGGTAGGCATTTCATCCTGAAATCGCCAAGAGTGTTTTCTTCCTCAGGACCGGCCTGGTGAAAACCAAGCACACAGCGGCTTGAGAAGGCTATGACAGTGGTGCTTTGCTTTCCTGCCTCTTTCTTTTTCTGAAGAGCCTGGAATGGCTCCAGATGCCAGGCCAGTTGCTGGAACCAAGCAGAAGACTTCGCTGACATCACCTCTCTGAACCTCAGGGACCTGTGGGGGCAGGGAGGTGATAATGACACTTAACAGAATTGTGAGGGGTTATGTCAGCCAATTGTGAGGGGTTAAGAGCTGGTGACCTGGCAAAGTCAGTGCACGGGAGCTATTGTTACCTCCTCACCAAACAGGTGATCGCTGGGAAGCACTCCTCCCGCTCACCTGACCACCCATCATTGCCTCAGCTCCTCTCACTCCTGAGACTTCCCAGAGGCCTCTGCTTCCTTGAGCCTCCTGATGCCGAAATCATTAAAAGGTCAATGTTGACCGTGATGGTAAGACAGAACAATCCAGACCACTCTTACGATTCTATCTGGGAAAAGAGAGATCCAAAGTACTTGGGAGGCAGAGGCAGGCAGATCTCTGTGAGTTCAAGGCCAGCCCAGTCTGCACACTCAGTTCCAGGACAGCCAGAGCTACGTAGAGAGACCCAAGACAAAGATAACATTGCCTTTTTAAAAGGTGTGGCTTCTGGGAGCAATATAGGAAGAATCTCCAGGTGCCAGTCTACTGAGCTCTACAGCCAGGGCTGTGGACTTGCAAGTAAGACCTGACTAAAAGGTACCCCTCTCCTGGTTTCCCAGGGAAAGACAGAGCCCCTGCTGGGACTGGCAGAGTGGGGAAGGGAAGAGGACAGGGAATGAAAGAGGCTTGGATAGAAGCCAAGTCCCACCAGACCATGAACTTCCCCGCCACCCAGGCCTCCCAGCCCCATGGGTGTCACCTCAGGGTGCTGTGGCTGCAGCAATGAGCTCTGAACTTAGGAATCAAAAGTTCTTGCTAGCAACACCACCTCACTTTACAAACGAGGAAACCGAGGCCGGAAGAGTCGGCCCCTTTTCCCAAAGGTTGCAGGGTAGGTAGCCTGCTTGTTTTTGCCATTGCGTCTGAACTCCAACTGAGGCAGGGAGGAGGCAGCTACCCCAAAGGCAGAATGTGGTACAGGGCTGTCCCTGGGCTAGAGGGTTTAAAGACGATAGCCTAGGGAAAGATGAAGAGAGTTGCAGCTGCCAGCAGCAGGCGGGGACAAACCAGCTTAGTCTGGTCTGACATGTGTTGCTGTGTAAGAGGCGATGAGGTGTTCCAAGTTCCTGAGAGCCAGCTCCGAGGAAATGAAAGGGCAACAGAAGGGATCAGGGTTAGATTTAAGACAGCACTTTCTCCCAGGCATGATAATGTGGCCCTTTATTCAGTGACCAAGGCAGGCTGTGAGCTCATCCCCTGTCCCTCCCACTCCTGAGGCCTTTGGGAATTCATCTTCGATTCCCACACAGCCTGCTTGCAGTGCAAGAAGCAAATGAGGTGGCTGACTTTAAAAAGTCCCCACCTTTTAGGTAGGCACTCCTCTTCCTAGATGGGCCTCCTGGGCCCCTTGCTGAGTGCGGACTGCAAGTCATTGAGGCTCTGAGGCCCTGGGGGGAGAACAGCAGTCATGGCATCTCTTGCAACATGCTCCCTGCCAAATTGATTCAAATTGGCTTGGATATGAACATATGATTAAAGGAGCGGTGCGATTCATTTATCAGGAGAGATTAAAGAGCGGCATCTGCGCAGCCTAGCTGGGGGACAATTAAGGAGCAAATCGCTAAGTGTCTGTGCCACCAGGCACGAGGGCCGGCCGGGGATGGGGGAAGGACAACTGGGATAACCTGCCAAGAGGACTCGAGGACAAAGGGAGCAGTTTGGGGGTCACTGGCTGCTGTTGTGGTGTCTGGGCAGTATGGGGAGTCCCCCAAGGGCTCTGGTTCCTGCCCTTGCCTCTTATTCAGGAGTCAGAGCAATCCTAAGGGCTGGAAATCAGAAGGGAGGTTTGAAGGGGACACAGGGTGGCTGCAAGACAGACACGTGGACTACGGTTTTGTTTTGTGGACTCACACACATCTCAGGAATAAGGTACTACGGGCACTCAGGAACTTGTGGAGTTTTCTAGGTGTAACCCAAATGAAGACATGCTTTGGTGGCCCTTTGGACCTCAGGGAGTGGGAACCAAGGGAATTGCCCCCTTCATAACCTGGAGTCTACAACCCTAGCCGAGGGTCATGTGGAAGCTTCGAGAAGCACTGGTGGTAGTGGTGGTGCTGTGTGACCTCTGGTTTCTCAGGCAGCTGTGGTATGAGCACTGTTTATCCCACTCAGACTCAGGACCTTTGTGTAAGCTTCCTTTCCTGTGCATGTCCCTGCACTAACTGCCCATGCCCTAGCTCCAAATACTGTCTCGAGGGTCCTTCAGTCTCCCTTCCCAAGGCATTCTGGGCTCAGAGCTCCAAAGCACCTCCTCTGCCCTCCTGCTCACCTTCCCTGAGGACAGGCACTGTGATTTACTCTTCTCAGGACGGAAACTGACACACAGCAGTAGGGGAAGGCGTATGTTCTGAGTGTCGGATTCCTTACTGGGACATCCCTGGTCTGAAAGGACTGTGCCCAGGCCACAGGAGCTAATCAAGACAGCTTTCTCAAATGCTGAGCAGATTATGTGAGTACCAAAAATTTTCTCTCGTCCCAAATTGGGTGTGTCGGTTCACACCTGGAATCCCAGCATTAGGGAGGCTGAGGCAGAAGTGGAAATAGGAGGTCAGCCGGGGCTGCGCAGTGAGACTCAGTTTCAACAAACAAATATAACTTCACTTTCATTGCCTTGCCTCTGTTGGAGGGCAGGCAGGTCTGTCCTAGAAGGATCCATCTCATAGTTCTCCCCAGCTCGTTTTGGTGATGTTTCCATCTGGTTCCCTCTCTTGACTTCCTGGGTGGCTGACATCAGCAGAGCCTCCCCCGCCACCTGTACCTCCCCAGACCGCTTAACTCCTGCAGAAAATGTATCTGGTCATGAAAAATGTTCAGAGGAGGAAGAGGAAGAAGAGGAGGGGGAGGGGTCTTTGGTTTCTTGCTCATCTGTGTGACTGCCCTATAACTGCCACAAAGCATAAGATTTAGCTCAGGTGTGTAGGCAGGGGCCAAGCAGGCATCTAAGGTGGTACTCCCAGCGTATTCAAGCTTCCTGTGCTCAGAAAGGGTGGAGGGACAGAGAAAATGCTGCCAAATTTTGATCAAAAAGTCACCTTTGGAGAGACTAAAATCAAACGTTTGAAAAGGGTTGGGGAGGAAGGAAGTGGGGGAGCGAGGGTGGAAGAGAGGGAGAACATAGTGGGCTGCAAACCCCACTAGCCTCAATATAAAAGGGGGGCAGGGGCTCTATCTTCCTTATCTCCTCACCTAGCTCAACTGCCAAGGCTCCCCGAGTGGCACTGGTCTGGCTTAGGAGTAGGCCACCAGAGACCAAGGTGGCTCCATGTCACCACCAGAATCCCACCTCTGCCCCTGCCCTGGGGTCACCCTGGATTACTCCTGAGCCTGCAAGGAGAGGCAGTGACACGCGTGGCCAGGAGGGAAGGGGCCTTTTATTTCCTTAATCAAGTCCACAGGGCGAGCACAGCCCGATAAGTACAAACCAATTGCAGGAGGGAAGGGGGATGGCAGACAGGTCCAGCACCAGGCACTGCTCTTGGGCCCCTAAGTCTGGTAGAGTGGGTGCAATGACTTTTATGGGAAGCAGCTGGGATGCCCAGACCACCTGTTGTTGTGTCTGGGGTATGTGTCGGAACAGGGACACGGGCAGAAGAAAGATGATAAAGGGTTAGGACTCTGGTCTGGTAAACAGACCAAACATCTACCTCCCACTGTGCCCACCGCAAGTCCTCAGCACCAAATGAGCTGGCTACACTGTGGACAGAAGGAAGGCAGTGCTGGAAGCCATGGGCTGGTGCAGGTGGACGAGATCAGCTCTTAAATAATTGCTCATTGCACTTAATACTCAACAAGGTTTGCTAGGCCCAAGCTAGAAGCACCAGGCTGCCAAGCCTCCCTACACTTCCTCTTAAGAGCCAGGGCCCCAGCTCTGCTCACCAGTGCACCTGGCTGCAGGGTACATGAGAAAGGACCTCTGGGGGAGTGAGGATGGAGAGGAGATTCCCAAGACATCCCACAGGGCCCAGCTGCGGCAGCAGCCCCTCCCACTCTCAAGGATGCAGCTGCGTGGAGGTCTGGGTATTTAAATTAAACAGTAAAAAGACAGCAGGCACTGAGAAGAGAAAGCCCTCACCCCAGCAGAGGGGAGGCATTGCTGCTCCCTCCTGACTCTTTCCCGAGGGCCTAGCAACTTGGAGTGGCCCAGCAGGTAACCTAGCCACCATCCCTGAGCAGCAGGCTGACACGGAGGTCCACCGCTGGCTCCATGAAGTGCCAGGCCACCTGACATGGTCCACAGGGTCCAGGGTAGGAGCCAAGAGTGTGGCATTTCTGAGGCGGGAGTGGGAGTTCTCGCAGAGACTCCTCTTCCCCCATCTCTTCCACGTGGAGCTACCAGACACCCACAGCCTGGAAAGTCCCCCTTACAGAGCGCTGCGGTGTTTTTCATGCAGATCGGCAGTTGAGCGGGGGGCAGAGGTACCCCTCCATTTCCTGGGAGAGGCTGTGGGGTGGGAGGGCCGTGAGCCATTCCCGGGCTATGCATTGGTCTCTGTTGGCTTGGCCTCTGTGTCGCTGTCACTCAAACCGTTGTGGGAGAATCGGTGTCTGGAGGTGCTGTCCACAGGATCGTGCTCATCATCTGATGGGTCAGGGGCTAGGGACTTCCAGTGGCTGGTTGGGCTGCAGAGAGAGGAACAAGGTCAAGGCCAAATAATACTCCTACTCTGGGCCACCAAGGCTCTGTTTGAGTACTTCCAAACCTAAATGGCGCTGGGTCAACACCAACGGTGTGGGTCAAGGCCCCCGGGCTCACCCAGAAGATGCTTAACGCAGAGAAAGGAGCAGCGGGCTCACACTCAGAAAGCTTTGGAGAATATCAGGGCAGGGAGGCTGGTGGCAGCAGGGACCAGGGTTCCGTGAGCCTAAGAAAGAGCTGCATGTTCCTCGCTCCTTCCCCTGAGAAGCTGGGACTGAGTCATGGGGAGGAACCCAGGCATTCTGAGTTTCCAGCTCCCTTCCTCCAATGCAAGTAGACCACAGACCACACAGATGACGACTCGAGATTGATTGCAACTTGTCCAAGGAGGAAACACTCAAACAAGTTACTGTTACTCCTGACAGGATCCCCTGGGCCTGGAAGACTCTGTCCTTGATCATGGCATCCTCTACTGAAAAAAGGATGGAGATTCAGAGGCTGGCAAGACCTGTTTAGGACGGACCAATGGGAAAAGCCCTTAGCTCCTGGGCGTCTTCAGCAGGCCCCCAGCTCTGGAGGACGATGATATGAAGAAGCATTATCCCACAGAGAGAGGAGGATTGTGACATCTAACAGCCAACAAGACCTCACCTCAGAGCCCCCTCCTGTCCCCACTGCCCTGATCACAAACACTGCAGTCTAACACCCCTGCAGAAGGTACTGTCCAATACAGCTTCACCTCTGCTGGTGCTCTGTCCTCATCTGGGTCCCTGGAGCTGCTGCCATGGCCTGAGTTGAGTCACGAAGGGACGCGGCTCTGCCTCCAGGCCCTTGTAACTGTTCTACAGTTTCTACACTCGCTAGGCCTGCTATATTCCAAACTAGGAGCCCAAGGACGGCCCTCGATTTACTGCTCTTTTTAAAACAAACAGCATTTTAGGTTTCCCTGGAGGTAGCAGCAGGTGCAGAGGAAAAGGTTCCACAACTGAGTCCTCCTATAGGAAGCCGTGCCCCCTGGACCAGTGATTCTCAACTTACGGGTCACGACCCCTTTGGGGTTGCATATCAGATCTCCTGCATATCAGATATTTACATTGTGGTTCACAGCAGCAGCAAAGCTGCAGTTATGAAGTAGCAATGGAAATAATTTTATGGCTGGGGTCACCACAATGTGAGGAACTGTTAAGGCTCACGGCGCACTAGGAAGGTCAAGAACTGCTGATTGGGACTTACTATTTTGTCTTGTTCTCCCAGCAACCTACGAGGGGGGGGAGGGAGGGAGAGGCCAGCTGGTTCAAAGGGAAGAAGTCACAACCAAGATCTGAACCTGAACCTCAGCCTTGGGGCACTCTGCCACTAGAGCAGACAAGAAGAAAACAAGACCAAACCAGAAGTCTCCTGCCTGCTGGGGTGGGGATGGGGGCGGGAAGAGGATATGTAAAGACAGGTCTCTGGGTCCCTGGCGGAAAGGAAGAGCCTGGGAAAATATATGTTCAATTATGCAAAATGGCTCAGCAACAGGGCAGTCTGGTTAATAGTTATCGTATTTCTCATGAATGAATTACCATTTTTAAAGGAATAAGAATAGCACAAAACACACTTAATACAAACTAGACTGAACATAAATGAGTCTTATTCTGATGGGCCAGAAGCACTTAGGGCCTTGCAGCATCTCCAGGACAAAACTATAAAGCTCAACAATAACTATGCAGCACAGGAAAAATGGGGGTCAGTGTAGCCCTGGGGTTGTTTGAATCCTGAATTAGTGGGAGCCAGTTATTGTCTTCTTTAACACAGAATTTCCACACACCCTGTGCTAAAGGTTTGCTTTCCGGCTAAGGAATGCCTCACTGTGAAGAAAGACAGTGGTGTTATTCTGTGAGCAGAGGGCATGAGGCAGATGCCAGGGCTGGGGTCCAGATGTAAATGAGGCATAGCCCTGCGTGGCCTGTTCCTTCCATCCTTCATCTCTTTTCACAGGTGAGTCTCCAGCCTCTGCTCCCAAACCCCAGACACCAGGTACACACAGTCGCTCTAAAGACACTGAAGAGGCAGGGGCAGCCAAGGACAAGGCCACAAGATCCTTTGCCATCTTTCTTGAGCTCTCCTCTGGCCAGTCTCCCTCCATTGCTGCATCTGTTGCCACTACCACCAGTAAGCCAATGGCAGGCAGCTCCCTGTCCCCAGACCAAGAGTCAGGGCTGGCAATTGGAACGTTTTAACTAAATTGTTTAAAAAGCTTTCCTCCCCACAAGCCAGTGTCTCCTGCTCCATCCTGTCACAAACAATTTGGGGCACAAGCTAATTCCTGCTGGGAAAGCCCAGGGTGATGCTGAGCTAGGTTTTGGAATTCTTCACTGGTCCTTATCCCCAGGGGAGACTCCAGCCCCCACCTTCTGCCTTTGCAGGCATATCCAGTTCAAAGGCAGCAGGTAACAGCAAAGCCCTCCCAGCTCTCTGCCCCCCACTTCACGGAAGCTCTACCAACATTGACTGTAATTCGCATAGTGGCCCAGTGTAGGTTTTCAGGACCAGGTGACTCCCCCTGTAGACTGTGGGGGAGAGGAGGCTGTGGAAACAGGCTTTCTGTCTTATTCACTGTAGATGGTGACTGGGAGCTGGAGGGATTCAAGTATGACATCTGCTAGTGACCAATCAGTCTGGCATGGTCCAGAAAGACACTGGCTTCCTTCTGGAAGGCCTACAGAAAGGCCTGGCCTTTTTGTTTCTAGATCTCCCCTTCCACCCTCCAACTGACTCCTCACCCTGGGGTGCATGGTCCCTCGCAAGCCTGCTAAAAGGAGGTGGAAATTGTAGGCCAAATATTTTGACTCCTGTCTTTTCTCCAGATGGAGCTAACAAAGGCCACTCATGCTCCCTGCTCTCCCTTGAGCACTGTGAAACCAGCTGCCGTGGCAGAAGCCACAGAGCAGCGCTGAGACCAAGGCATGTTTTCATAGCTCAGGCCTGAGCTGCTCTAAAGCCTGGTCTGGAGTCAAGCTCCATTGCCTTACTCCCACTTCCCAATCACTGCCTCCCTTCCTTCCCCTCCCCATTTCCAAACGACCACAGGCAACTTCCTCTTGTTCTATTCCTCGAAGGGACCATAAACGGAGGGACCCCTTTCGGTAGAGCCCAATTCCCCAGATGCCCCTCGCACAAGCATGCTACAGGTGTGTTAGTTCATGCGTCTGGGAAACAACTGTCGTACCCCAGGGGGCTCCAGCCTAGGGTGGTGCCTCCTGGGAAGCAGCAAGCATGCCCCGTGAGGGTGCCAGGCTGAAAATGCTTCTTGCAACAGGGGTGATTCAAAATGTCACCACCCACCAGGGAAGCTGGCAACAATGGGATCCCAATGATTCAGGCTCTGCCTCTCTCGGCTCAAGGTGTGGGCACCAGGGAGAAGAGCTGGGGGAGGCAGGAGAGCAGAGCGGGGGTTGTCACTCAGCACCTGCTAATTTCTATTCATTAGAACTTCACTTGAAGAGCAGAGCTGAGGTGACGCCCATGTGTGGGCTAAGTGTGGGCAGGAGGGCTAGGGAGGCGGCAGGCATGTCCTGGGTCTACTGGAGGGTGTGGTGCAGTGTAGGCTGAGATCCGTGCTTGGGAGGAAGGCAGCAGAGCAGAGAGCCAGTGACTCTCAGAGCTCACAGCCAGTGTGTCATGTCAGCTAGGACCCTTTCCTGGGTCCCTCTTGTTGGAGGAGGGCTCTGAAATGGGTGCTGGTGACACCCATTGCTCTGCATATGGCCATATGGAGAAGCAGTTAAGGTTAAGGGTGTTAAACAGACCCCATCAGCTCCTGGTAACCTCATTTCCCAGTTGTGGAGCCTGGGCAGGTAACTTAACCTCTCTGGGCCCTACCTTTTATGAAAGAGCTGATCAAACCTTTGTTAGGAAGTCAAATTACAGATTAGTTTCCAAAACAGCTCCAGAGGCTCTCTGAGGCCCAAGAGGGGAGCCCAAGGTTGTGGTTGGAGGGGTAGGGAGGAGTTAGTTCACTAAGGGTGGGACACGCCATGCTGCACTCCACGCCAGGCTAGGTGTCACCTACTGCGCTAGTCACTCTCAGGCCGATACAGGTACCGCATCATCAGACTGTCCACCTCTTTCTTTCGCTGCTTCTCTTCCTTCTTTGACCTTCTTGGCGCTTGCCCTGTTTCCTCGATATCTGTGGTAGGGCCCCTTTTCACACTGGAGCGGCTATGGCCGGAGACCGTGGAGCCACTGGATGAGGACGAGGAGGATTCAGACTCAGACTCTGTCTTCTTTCTTCTTGATTTGGATTTCTTCTTGCTCTTCCGAGAGCGCCCTTTCCTCCGCCGCTTGTGCCCTGAGGAACCTTCCGAGCTGGAGGAGCTGGAGCTGGAGCTGGAGCGGGGGCTGCTCCGTCTGCTCCTCCGCTTGCTCCGGCTTTTGCGGCCACTGCGCGACCCAGAGACATCCACGGCCGAGGCAGAGCGGCGGATGCTGGTGCCCCTTTCTGGGCAATCCAGCTGTGCACTCCGGGCACTCTGGATGCTCTTCCGGTCATCCTCCTCAGAGTCAGGCTCCAGGCTGCTCCGGTGGAAAGGCACAGGTTTGTAGCTCAAGACCTCGTTAATGGCAGCCTCCAGGTCTGGATCCAGGTAGGAGTGGCGGCTGACTGGTCGGATGCTGGAGCCCTCAGTGACAGAGGCTGAGGATGGTGCAGAGCCCCGTGGCTGGGGTGGCACAGACAGACTCCGGGCCAGTGACGGGTGGCTGAACTGTGAGTGCGCCTCACTGAGGGCCACGCTGACTCCATCATCCCACTCATCCAGGCAGCTCTGGCCAAGGGACAGCCTGGAGTCAGGGCTCTCCCGGTCAATACCCGAGGCCCTGTTCCAGGAGGGGCTTAGGGTCCTCGACAGGCTGTCGAGCCTGGATGTGCTGCGGCGGGAGCTGGGTGAGCCTGACAGTGAGAAGCTCAACGAGGAGCGAGCCCTGTCCTCCCCAGAGCCACGCGTGGCTGAGGAGGCCCGGCTGACTGGCGCGGAGACGGTCGAGGCTCGGTCAAAGTCTGAGCCCCACCGCTTCTCCAGACCACGGCCAGTACGGCTCGTTGTCCCTGACAAGATGGAGCTACAGTCATCCTGCTCCTCACACCTCCTGCCCTGGGCCTGGTTGGGTTCCTCCCTGGGGCCCATACGGGCCTTCCTGGGGGGCCTTTCAGGGGAGGTGGCACGCTCACTCAGGGTGGTGAAGAGTGAGTCCTGGTCCCCAGTGCCCCCGATGGAATCCTTCAGGGTGAGCCTCTTGCGGTAGCTGAGGGAGCTGAGGGCAGAGGTGGGTCTCTCCTCTGGCCCCTTGCCCTCCTTAGGGAGGCTGTTGAGAGCCGTCCTGAGTGGGATGGAAGGCCCAAGAGGAGAGACCCAGAGTGGATGAATGAGAAAGAGAGAGAGGGAGAGAGAGAGAGGGAGGGGGGAGAGAGAGAGAGAGAGAGAGAGAGAGAGAGGCACATTAACAAAAATAAGGACACAGGGGGAGGGAGAAAGGAGGAGAAAACCGCACAGCCCCGGCAAAGCGGTGGCAAGAGCATCCGAGGAAATGAAGCAAAATAATTTGCGTCAGTGAAAATAGCTTCATGGAGAATGTCATGTAAATTAGACTATTGTTCTATTTCATCACTTTTCCCCCTCTAAAACGTTTAGTTCAATTTATTTCATTGTCAACTACCTGGAGCCTTGTGCCACACTGTGGTGAACGGCAGCGGGGCGGGGAAGGCGGCATTATCTGCAATAACAAAATGTTGTTTGGCCGAATAAATTAAACCAATTACAGGGGGCCGCTGGGTGCTAGTGGTGAGGGGCTGGACTTGGGGAAGGAGCTTGGGGGAGTTGGAAAAGAAGGAGAGAGATTACTTTTTCTATTCAGTCTGCCTACTGTCTCTGGAGAGGTGGGAAGGGAGCAGGAAACTCTGTGTGGGAAGGGGTGCAGGGAGCAGGCCGTATCTGGTCAGGGATGGATGGGAGGTTGGAGCTCTGGCCTCTAGAAGTGGCTGGCTGTCTGATCAGAAGATTATGATTGGCTAGGAAGTAGGATGAACGAGCCCCCCTCCAAGACTGGCAGGCAAGCCTGGAGGGGTGGGCAATGAAAAGCATAGGGGAGGGGCCTAGAGAGATGGATCAGCGGGTAAGAGCACAGGCTGCTCTATCCAGAGGTCCTGGGTTCAATTCACCCACATGACAGCTCACCACTGCCTGTAACTCCAGGTCCTCACACCAGTGCACATATAATAAATAATAAAAAAGAAAAGAAAAGCCCAGAGGAAGCGGAGAGGAGAGGAGGAGGGCAGAAGCGCGCGGCACGGCTCGGGGACCTGGTGCTTTTGCATTGCTGCTCTGCAAAGGACAGAGTCCAGAGCCACTGGGGCTGCCCTGAGCAGGGCTTAGGATCCAGAGTCCCCAGTGCCCCACCCAAGTCTTGATTTCAAAGGCACCAACAATTAGATGCTTGCTGCCCGGGTAGGTGTAATGAAACTAAACCTATACAAACACACCCAAACAGGGAAGCATTACCTGGCTAAGCAGCTGGCCTTCTGTGTTCTTTCCACAGACCAGAACAGTGTACAGGTAGCCTGAGGGTGGCACCTTTGGCGCCAAGATACTGCCCACCCATGACTGGTGGCTGAGATGGCTTCTCCTCCCTGCTTGGGGCCAAGGCTCACCTGGAACTCTTCAAGCTGCCATCGTCAGAAGCTGCCTTTGAAGGTCCCTTGTTCTTTGACAACCAAGACTTGACCCCGTCGACCCGGTCCTCCAGCTCTGAGTCCACATCGGAGTCTCCCTCACTGTGGGGGCGAGGAGCAAAAAGGTAGGCAAGGCCAGGCAGCTGAGGGTTGCTTGCTGGCCAGGACAGAAAGCAAGAAGGGAAGAGGGTGCACCTTGGGTGGGGCTGGAATGCAGGTGGCATGCGCATCAGAGAGTCAGGGAGAACAGAAAGGTTAGAGAGAGAGCACAGCACCCTGCGAGGTGCCCACCCCTTCCCTCAGCAGACCACACTGTGTGACAGCCACTAACAGGACCCTGGGAAGCATGGAGGCACCACCTGTTCCTCCAGGCATGAGTGACAGGCTATTCAGCTGGCCAACCAGATGAGAATGGGCCACCCACTTAGCAATTCTAGCCTAATGGCGCTTGGTTAAAGGAAAGTCTTCAGGCTGAGAAGATGATTCAGTGAGTAATAGCACTTGCCACCAAGCCTGAGTTCAATCCCTGGAAGCCATCTGGGGTTCTCTAACTTCCACACCTATGCTGTAGCACACCCATATCCTTGTACATATGTATTGCTAGGTAGTGGTGGTGCGTACCTTTAATCCCAGCACTTAGAGGCAGAGGCAGGGGGATCTCTGTGAGTTCAAGACTAACCTGGTCTACAGAGTGAGTTCCAGGACAGCCAGAGTTACATGGAGAAATAAAATAAACAAATAGATGTGTGTGTGTGTGTGTGTGTGTGTGTGTGTGTGTGTGTGTGTGTTCCTGGGCACATCAGCTCCCCCTTGAGGCCTATGTTGACATGTCTCAGGCTGTAGTGGCTACCACTGTTTTCTATGTCTTCATTATAAAAGCATGGGGCAGAAGACCAGACCTTCACATGACTTCAGGTTAACTTGAACCTGAAGGTCTCTTTAGCTGGTAGCAACACACACCTAAGCTAATGAAACACCAGCCAAATCCTAGACCCTGGCTTTTAGTAACAGGAAACAAAAGATGAGGGGAGCAACAGCCGCTTTTCCTGAGCGCCTGGCAGTGCCTTCAGGATCCAGATAGCCCCAGGAAGTCCAGTGGACACAGAAAGCAGGGTTCTAACTCTGCAGCCCCCCCCCCCCCCCCAAACACACACCAGGTAGCCCTCCAGCCCCTGCTCTCCACTGCTACTGCTGGACAGGCCGACCCCAGAACCTGCAAGCAAGCCTCAGGGAGTCTAATTCTGGGGCTGGAGTCATGGTGACCCCCTCATGAAGCAGTAGGGGCATAGAGATGGTTTCTGAGTGCAAATGCTTTGCAAATTCTGCAAGATGTCTGCTCCCTAAGTTCCTCTGCTATTGACGGACGGAGATTTCTCCTTGATATAAATTCCCTTTCATCTGTGTCAACAGGAGTAGCCTGGTCCTGAATTATGTTCTTGAATAAATAGCCACACAGGCACATACATATATACCCAGGCATGTACATGCAGCTACACACACACACACACACACACAAACACACACACACACACACCAGAGGAAACCACAGTAGTTCTAGGGACCATGAGAGAGCCCTGTACATGGGAAGGGGAACAAAGAGGCATATTTTATGGGCTTCCATCAAATACAGAATTATAACAGAGACAAGGCCTGCCAATGCCCCGGGTAAACAGGAGTTTAGCAGGCAGCCCCCAAACCACTAATGCAAGCTCTGTGCCCGTCCGAGCCTGGCAGATTTACTGTGGTGCACAGGTCCCATGGAACGCCAATACCACCTGATTTATACACCCGTGCAAAAAACCTCCCTCTATAGCTTCAGAGCCTGTAATTTATCACCGCCGTTCATAACCATATTGATTGCCTTTAGAAAGGAGGTGCTGTGTGCATCGCAAAATCTATGTCTACATGTTAAAAGTGTTTCTGTATAAATCTCCCTTAATACTGCACTGTTTACTGCTTTCATTAAGGTTATGGCAATAACAACTGTATCTCTAAGTAAATCGAAACATTATTTTTCTGCCCGCCTTAGCATGTTCGTTCGATAACGTGGAGCTGCTGAGGAAGGAGCCCCTCTGCCATCAGTGGAGTCTGCTTAGAATTGCACGTTTTCCTGCACCTGCTTTGAGTGCACGCTGGTGTGTATGTGTGTGTGTGTGCTGAGTCTCTGTGTGCCCAACTGTGGTTTAGAATATGATCTTCAATGCACATTTTATCAGCCCTCAGAGCTCCTTCTGCCCAAGGAGGGTAAGGTGGAACACACCGGGGACAGACTGAGGCCCAGAATATGAATTTCCTTCCCCACATTCAGAGCAGTCCGTGGGCTGAGAAGCTGGCTTGCCTACCCTCACCTGCTTTTTAGTTGCAAGAATCCAGACCATGTTCGGGTTCTCTTCCTTAAATAATCAGGCCCGTAAACAAACTCCAGGGGCAGGCAGGCTCAGGGGGCAGTTGAAATTTTAAATGGTCGGAATTAAACCTCGCGTCAAATACAATTTATGTCCAGGCTCATGTGCTATTAGTTAACTGGGAGCTGAATCACGGGGGAACAAACAAACGGAGACAGAACGGCAGGGGATATTAATTGTGTGTGACAACCGGGCTCCAGCGGCCCTCTATCACTGTTACACACTATTACATTTATCATTAGCTCTCCCGGACTCCTGTGCACGGCCACCAGCCCATCCTGGCCAGGGGAGGAGGTCTGCCAGGCAGGAATGCAGTCCTATGCTGAGAAAACAACCTCCAAAGCAAGCCTGTCGAACTTGACAGAGGATCAGCAAATCTGCCTGGAGGCCTTGCACATCCGCACCACTTTCCAGCTCCTGCACCCCCACCCCGGCAGAAAGAGGGAACAGAGAAGGACAGATGTCCTAGGCCTCCTGCCTCCTGACAGACATACCACCACAGATATATTCCTCCTACCACCACCAAGACCACCACCACTGCCTGAGATGCCCCCTGGGAGCAAAGCAAACACAACCGGCTGTTTCCTTTCCCTGCCACAGCAGAGCTGCCCAAGGTCAGCTGCCTGGATGCTTTCTCCAAACCGGCAGCTGTGAGATGCCCCTCACCCTCAACCCTCATCCGCCTAAGGAAGGTGGCAGACCTTAAACACAAAACAGACCCTTTCCTTGCGGGCAGCTTGGGTTCCAAGAGCCCAAGAATGCAGACAGATTTACCCTGGAACACTAGACCTCCATACAGTGCCAGGGTGGTGGCCACACTTGGTTCCTAGAGAGGGGAGGCTGGGACTTTTAGCTAGACAGGAGGGTCAGTCTCGCCTTTTAGGAAGACACTTCACAGCCAGACAATTCTTCCATTCCAGCCTAAGGACAGTCAGTGGTGTTAGCATTAGAGACCAGCCAGAGAGAGTGTGAGGCTGTGTCTGCGTGCAGCATGCAGCAGGGGCCCCTAGCAGGAAGCCCTGTGTTAGGGGGGGTTAGACACCCAAGGGAAGAGGCAAAGAGCACATGGCTCTGGTCCTCACAGTTTATTCTTTCTTTTCTGATATTTTGTCACCATGTCCTGTAAACTGGAAACAGAAAGAAAATGGTGGGCAAAGGGACCAGAGGCGGGGGAGTCGATGGACAAACAGGAGGACCCTCATCCACACCTCGTTCTTCACCAAATGACAGCTCTGGCTGGTTGCGATCAGGCAGAAGTGAGTAATAGTATCCTCAGAACTAGGCTTGATCCACTGCCAGTGCTCACCCCAAGGGAGCAAGCTTCCTGGGCCACCCTGCCCTGCCGATACAGTGGGACCTGACCCTGAGGCAAGAAGTGGGGAGCTCTGGGATCTACCCAGGGCCCAGCCCCACCCCCACACTGCTGATCCTCTGGATCTGACTTTCTCCTCGCCTAGGACTACAAATCTCTCTCATTCTCCAAAACCATTCCCTGGGTGGGTTTTATGCGAGAAAATCTCAAGCACGGTAACAAGACGCCACAGCCCCTAAATCTCTGCTCTCCCTAGAGTGGAGCAGGCGCCATCGGAAATGCAGCTAAACGGGGGAATAACTCATGGGGAGCAGGCAGCACCAGAGCCCGGATTTTGGAAGGCCTGGGAAGGAGAGCACGGGAGGAGAGGAGAGCGCCTAACCCCCAGCACCCTCAGCCGCTTCCATCTGGGTCCAGTTCTGGGAGGGTGATGACTGGTAGCTTAGCTACAGATGTCACCTCTGCCCCACCGGAAACGCTCCATCTCTTACCTGTTGATAAGGTCCTCATTCTCATCGCTCTCCATCTCATCCTCAATGGCGGCTTGCAAGTCCCCAATGCGCTTGAATGCCAGCTTGAGGTCAGCCTGCAGGCTTTGGTTAGCAGCTTCCAGACTCTCCAGGTCCATCTCCTAGGAGGGGGGTCTAGTGTACAGGAGGGCCACACTGTCCCCTAGCATCTCTGCAGGAGCCTGCAGCAAGTTACTCGTTGCCAGGCAGGAGCTACCCTGGTTGCTACTCAAGGTCTCCAAAGGCTTCTCTATTCAAGGGCTACGAGGCTGGCTGGGTAGTGGGCCTCACCTGATGGAGACTTCTGAGGCCGCCCTTGACCCTCTTGCCTATCCTCAGGACTGAACTCTCCCTCACCAAAACCCAGGGTGAGGTGGGCATGTACTTAGCAGCACCTGGGGAAGGGGGTCTCCAGCTTGGGACCCACGAGGAGCAGGACATTACCAGCTCATGCTTCTTGCGGCTGGCCTCTGCTTCCTTCCTGGCAAGTTCACCCATCTCCTCCTTTGTGTCCCGGAGCTGCCGCTGGAGCCTCTTGTTCTGCTCCTTCTCGCGGTTCTCAGCTGCAGCGCGCTGGTCCCGTTCCTCGGTCAGCTTCTCCATGTTCTCCTTGAGCCGATTGGCCAGGCCCTGGGTGAGCAGGTTGAGAAGAAACAGCAGGTATGCTATCAGCCAGGCAGAGAGTATTGGCAGGAAGCCTGGCCGAGCTCTTGTCCCACTACTCAGCCATGGCTGAGAGATACGCATGTGAGTTTACTTTTAACTTCTTCCCACCTTTACCCCATCCCTTTTGTCTTCCTGTGTGTGGGAGCACACGTGTATAGGCCGGAAGTCAGCCTGGACTATTCCTTAGGTAATCCATCTTGTCCTTTGAGATGTGGTCCCTTATTGTGACCTAGAGTTCACCAATTAGGCTGCCTGGCCAGCAAACCCTGGTGAGCCTCCTGTGTTTGCTCCCCAGTGCGAGGATTACAGCATCAGGGATTTTTCGAAGATGCTGAGCTCGGGGGCGACAGCCAGTGTTCAGAGGTGACTGGTTCCATTGTGAGTGCCTGAATAGGAGATGCAGGCAGAGTGATTGATCTCTCTCGGCCTCGTGAATCTGTCTCCCTCAGAAACATGGACAAGGACATGTTTCCCCTGCCAGGTAGGAGTATCCTACCAGGAAATGATTGGAGTGGAGGCCAGGGATGAGGGAGGACTGAGCCAGTGTCCAGGATGAGGGAAGACTGAGCCAGTGTCCAGTGTTGTCCTCCCATTGACTACCCCAGCCTGGTGTGCAAAGTGACAGGCCCAGGCTACAGGGTCACTCAGGGTGAGCCTAAACCACAACATTGCCCTTCTGAGTCGAAAGGAGTCTGAGACAAGAGTGAGGTGACAAGCGCAGGAGGCAGAGCCTTCATCCACCACCAGGGGCTTCTCCGGCCCCAGCAGCCACACGAACCCTTTCCCGTGTGTGATAGCGGGGCTGAAATGTCACCCACTGCCCTGGAGTCCTGGGGGCAGAACATAAGCTGTCAAGCTCTGTCTGGCTCTCCATGCTGGGAGTTTTATCCATACACTTTTCCTGTGTCCAGGCTAGTAATGCCCTTGGCTGCTCACCCGCTTCTACCTCTCTCCTACAGCCTGCTCTGCTGACAGAGGGACTGATGGGGAAGGGGCGACAGAGAAGTTCCCCATGCGCCACAATGAGCATGTTCCCAGGCAGGCCTGAGGATGTTTGGACAGATGTCCATACACTCAGGAGAACAAGAGTCAAGACAAGGCTACAAGGGAACACTCCAACACCTCTCACACAGGGAGGCTGAAGCGCACGGGCTACAGGAGACCAGAGGTGGAGTATGGAGAGACCATTGTGGAGAAGGGGGAAACAAAGCAAGAAGAGACGAGACTAACCGATAGGGGGAAGGGGAAAAAAAAGGAAAAAGGGGGTGAGGAAAGAAAGAAATGAAGACATAGGAAGAGAGTAAGAAAGGGGCAGGACGGTGTTGGGGGGGAGAAGGAGGGAGGGCAGAGCTGGAAAGGGTGGCAAGCCGTGGGGGGAGGGGTGTAAAAAGCAAGGGAGAAGAAGAAAGAGCCACGAGACGAGAACAGACTTCAGCCTTAGAGCAGTGGTGCCATCCGCTGCATATTTATGACCCTACCAGAGAGTGAGTGAGGGGGACAGGAGGGGGAGCTCGTGGCAGAGGAAAATATGAAGACGAAAAGCTAAGCTGCTCTGGTCCCTTGGCAGAAAGCAGGCACGGATACAGAATGTAAAATAGGCAGGCTCTGCGGGGCCCAGAGAGCAGGCCAGGCAGGCGGGAGGGGAGCTCCCACCCTGTCAGCTGGCCTGGCAGCTTGGCAGAGGACTCTGAGGAGTGTCCCTGGCTTGCACAGCCCTTCAGAGCATGCGTGGCTACAGCCACCAGGGCAGCTTTGCTTGGCTTGCAGCGACGTACACGTAGCTGAACCCACCTCCAGACGCTTCGCTTGGGTCTTTTCGAACTCCAGGCGTGTTTCCAGCTCCCTGATCTTCGCTTCCTGCCTGCTGACGAGAGACTTGTCCACCATGGACTGCTCCAGGAACTCCACCTGGCTCTGCAGGGCTTGTAGCTAGGGGTGGAGGGAGCAAGGGAAGAATGAACTGAATCCAAAACGGGGAGGGCGGTGGCAAGTCTGGGATAGGCAACATCACCACGGTGACTAGGAGGCCAAGGGAGGGAGCAAGGCACAGAGGAGCCACCCCCAGCCAAGGTCTCCCCCACTTGCCCCTGCACTTGGCACTGATATTGCCCTGCTGAGAGGCAGGACCGTGGTAAGGACCAGAGAGGGAAGAGAAATGTGAGGTGAGGCAGCTGGAGCCAAAACATCTACCATGGTGATGAGGCCCCAAGCCTAGCTCTTCCTGCTTGTTCACACTGCTCCCAGTTCACATGCTCTGTGGCTAATGAATGGCTGAGAGAAACACCCTCTGTACTAGATGAAGGCTTCATCCCCAAGGACCTGAACGCTTACTCCCAGGGGAGCCCATGGTGCCCACATGGTACCCACATGGTACCCACATGGTACCCACATGGTGCCCACCTTCTCTTGTAGCTCTTGCTTCTCCTTGTTGGATTCTTCCAGCTGAGCTTGAAGATCATTCATCTGTGCCATGTCCCGAGAGGACTGGGAAGGGAGAAGAACAATGGGGAAAGGGTCCCCCAAACAGAAATTCAGCCCCTATCCATTGAGGGCCAGGGGAGCCAGGTGTGGTGGCGTACACCTTTAGCCCAGCACTTGGGAGGCAGAGGCAGGCGGATCTCTGTGAGTTCAAAGGCAGCCTGGTCTACAGAGTGAGTTCCAGGACAGCCGGGGTACACATCTCAGGGGGACAAAAAGTGTCTATCTGGAGATCTACGAGGGGGCGGAGGATGGTAACGATGACGTCATCGGGGTACCTGGGCCACAGCTGCCTTGTGCTTCTTCATCAGCTCATTCATGTCCTCCTGATCCTCTTCCAGCCGGTTCTGGATCTCATTTTTCTCACGCTGAAGGCGACTCAGTTGCTCCTCCAACTGGACAAAGGCAGAGGCAGATCGGAGGGGATCAGGCCTGTGTCTTCAGGCCCTGGGGTGGCAAGTCCAAACCTGGCCCACCCCATGCCACCTCTCCTAGGTGGGGGTGACAGTAGGGTAGGGACACGATGAAATGTCGGAGGGATCCGATGGCTTCTGGGCAGGGAGATGGGGGACAGGCAGACCCTGGGTTTTAGATGCTAAATGGCAGCTGCTTTCTGGCAGCTCTCAAGGCTAATAAGAAAGTAGAAATTCTGCCCTTAACAAACGACCCATCGTCCTGGTACATCAGCCTGACTGGCATGCACTCTGACCACAGCAGGCCTCAGGGAAGAACCTTTCAGGCTGGTGACATCCCCTGGCTTGGATTTTGTTTGCCCTGGGGATGGCCCACTCTTGGGGCACCCAGCTCTCCCAGCCTTGGGGGAGGGGAAGAGACAGGTACCGGCAGCTTCAGGAAATGAATGAATCTATTAGCCTGTAATTCTGAACCAAAATGACTGCGCTGGTGCCTTCTCTGCCCCATCCATCTTGTTACTGGGCTGTGGGGAGCTGGGGGAAGCCTCCGCCAAGAAATTTATTAACTCAGATTTAAATAAAACGGTAATTTTATAACAGCCTTTTTTAACACAATTAAGGAATTGGAATTACTCACCTGGAACCTGCTGAAGAGCACAAATGTCACAAGATAAATCAAGCCTGTGAGACTGGCGTCTCTCAGCAGCAGGGTGACCAACTAGGGGCCATGAAGCCAACAGCCAAACCCAGCCTCCTCCCCCTGCCCCACTCCTGGCTTGAGGAGGTACGGGTGCTGGCCACATCCCAGGAGTGAATACTGAGCCAGTGGCTGGGCCGTGGGAGAGGTGGGGAATTAAAAGGGAGGCATTAAATAAAAGCTCTAATTAGCTGCCGCTTGGGTTCGTCAGTGGGCTGGGCAGGGGAGGGAAAGGAAGCCCGGTGTCCTATCCTCTTATCGGTGCTTCTGCTAATCTCGAGGCACCTGTTTACATCCCTCAGCCACATTAGCTGCCTTTATTTATGGTTCCAGGGCCTGCGGCCAAGCTCCCAGAGGCAGGTGGTTAAACAGGGAAATGTGCACCCGAGCTGCCAGCCCTCCCTCCTCTCAAAACTACTCTGAGTGGGGGGGGGAAGCAGAGGACGTGGGTAGGGGGTACTGTGTCCTGCAGGCGTGAGAGGACCTGTGTGGGTCACGGTTCAGCTCTCCCTCAGTCCCCAGCCCTGCCCTGTGCGCCCTGCCCCTCACCGCTGTCTTGGCTTTGGTGATGTCATCAATCTGCAGGTGCAGATCCTCCATCTCCACCTCCATCGCCTTCCGTGCTTTTACAGCTGCTGCACAGGTGAACTCCGACTCTTCCAGCTGGACAGAGAGACACCCCCAGCCAGGAGATAAACATCAGCCACGCTCTGGGGCACAAGGACCTTGCAAGGCGCTGGCTTACAGAGGAGAAGGGGTCCAGACACTCTCCCTGTCCTCCTCTGCCACCTCCTCCCCCTTCTTGCTCCTCCTCTTTCTTCATGAATGGCATTCTTAGAGCCATAGCTGTGCTGCGGTGCACACATTGTTCTCTCCTCCAGGATGCACAGCCTATCCACATCACCCTCGGGCCTGGCAGTCACAGACCCTGGGGAATCTGACTGCTAGGGGCGGCTTCCTCCCCACATTCCAGCCATCTTCCTTCTCAAGGACTTAAGAGCCAGCAAGACGAACAAGCCGCAGAGAAGAAAAAGGAACAAATGAGCTTCTTGGCCGCCCCTGGAGCCAGTGGATTCATCAGAGCACGGGTACCTGGTTCTTTAGCTGGGCAATCTCCCTCTTGCTGGGGGCGTTGTTCTTTAAATGGTCCAGCATGATCTGAGCATCTGCCAGCAGCGCCTTGGTACGCTTCAGGTCTTTCCGCAACCGCTTCTCTGATTCAAAGTCCCGCTGGTTCACCTGGGAGGACACCATCCGGGAAGGCACTGAGCTCCACCATGGGGCTTCCTTGAGTCCTTCCCAAGCTGACTGCTAATCTTGCCTATCTTCACATTCTCCAAAATGAGCAAGGATGCTCTCCTGGGCATGCCAGGATCATGATGGCTAGTGAGAAAGGCCTGGGTGATGGATGATACCCTCATCAACCCCTGTGATGTGGTACCTGCTGCAGAGTACCACGGCATGCCCAGTTTTCTGTCCAAGATCCCCAGTCTTAGGCTGGTGGAGCAGATGGCTGTGGGGGTCCCCACGCACCTGGTCACTGAGTGTGGACAGCTTGCCCTCCAGCTCCCGCTTCTCCCGCAGTGCCTTCTGCTTGTCTTCGTACTCCTCCTCAAGCTGCACTTCCATCTGCTTTAGCTGCGGGGTCGTGGGGACAGAGGCTGTTGTCCTTTTGTCCGTCGTGGGCAGGGACAATAGTCCCTTCCCATGCTGAGTGTCCCCTCCCAGAACAATGGAGCAGGACTGAGTGTGGATGACCCAAGGAGGTACAAGTGCAGGAGGGGGACAGCAGGCCACAAGCAGCTACTACAGCCACAGTAGACTTCGCACAGTGTGTGTGTGGGGGCGGAGATCATCCAGCTAGGCTGGCTGACCACAGGCGGCCCCAGGGAAGCACAGGACCAAGCTTTCCCACAGACTGAAATGCTCATCCCAGGCCAGGCCTGAGTCCTAAGAGGGGAAATCCTGGTCCAGAATAGCAGTAGAATACAGGGGGATAGTGTGGAAAAAGAAAAGCCCCTACTTTAAAGCAGTGATAAAGAACATATCCTTACACCAGCATAGAAGAGCCCAGACGGCCCAGATGCCATACCTTCTTCTGACATGACTGCCGGGCCTCCTCCACCTCCTCATCCCGACTCTCCATCTCCTTGGAATGGGTCTGTCGCATCCGCTCCATCTCCATCTCCAGACGCAGCTTGGCCTGTGGGTTGGAAGTCAGGATTGGGTTCCTTTCCCGGAAGTGCAGCTCTCCCATGTTCAGGAGCGCAGGCTCTCTTTCCACCACGGTTCTCTTTGCCCGCTCAGTCTTTGCCCTGGCAGCCAGCTTCTGCAGGGAAGCTGTAGCGTGCCTCCCTACTAGACACTTGGCCAAGGCTCAGGAAGAGGCTGGTTGCTGGAGATGGTCTTGCAGCTTTCCGTCCCTGGGTAGGACCCCTGAACTGACCTGGCTGTTTAGTGGCATGCTTGGTTGGCTTCTGGCCCTCTGTCTGCATTATCTTCCCATTCTTTCCTCACTAGATCCAACCCAGATCTGCTTTCGGGAAAGGCTGTATGGCAACTTAACTATCTGTACATTGTGGCTGGCACCGGGCAAGTACTCTCATGACACTTTATGAGTAGATGAATGAGTGATTGAGAGAATGAATGAATGAATGGATGGATGTAGACCTTGACCTTTCCTCCCCGGTGCCCTGTGTTAATGGTGAGGGTGGCAATATTTCCTGTTGCACCTTGGCCCTCTCTTGGCCAATTCTGTGGTACCTGCTCCAGCATCTGTATGCTTCCCGCCTGTTCATCCAGTTCCTCTTCCTGATCCTTGACCTTGGCCTCCAAGTCCCGGAGCTGCTTCTTGACCTTGGCCAGAGAAGCCTCATCCTTGGACTCTTGAGAAGAAATGTCCTGGAGCTCAGCCTCCAAGGAGACGACCTTCTGGGTAAACCCAGCGATGTCCATGTCTTTTTCCTAGAGGGCAAAGGAAGGTGAGGTTGGCACAGGGCTTCCCCAAGTGGTAGGGGAGCTGGAGCTGGAAGAGGGTCAGCCCCAGTACCTCCAGCTGCTGCTTCAGGCTGAAAGCCTCAGCCAGGAGCATGTCCTTCTCCCGTTGGAGCTTCTCCCTCTGCAGCTTCTCCCGCTGGGCCTCCTCCTGTGCCTGGGAAAGCTCACTGTCAAACCTGTGGGGAGCACAACGGCCTCATTAGGAAAGGACAAAGTCTAGCTCTCTAGCACACAGCAAGCGGGGTACCACAGACAGAGCAAGACACCAACAGGGCTGGGGTAGGGGGTGGGAGGGACTCATAAGTCATGACTTGGGACCCTGGTGACACTGGAATTCAGGAAATAGAGGTCAGACTACTGAGGCACCTGAGGAACAATGAATGCTTCATCAAGTGGGCCTAAGAAGGTCCCACACACCGCTTCTGGGAAAGGGGCAGGCAAGTCTCCACATTCTCCAACGGATGAAAGAAGAAGGTGTCAGGGTGACAACAGAGGGGCATCAGGGTGAGTAGAAATGATGTTCTCTTTGGACAATTCACCCTATGCTCAACTCAGCAACTACAGGCACAGCTGCTGGCTTCTAACCCCCGCTGGCATCTGCCTCCGGTATCAGTACCACCCACCCCAGAGTTACCAGCAGGGCACCCCATGCTGGGCCAGGCAGCAATGTGCTCTAAGAGGCACTCGCGGGAGCCACCTCCTTTACTCCTCTACTTCCCAGCCTTCCATTTCCCGCCCGGTGACTCTAAATCGGGGAACAAATTGCTGAAATCCCTCTTAGCCCTTCCCTGCATAGGTAATCAGGTTCCTGTGGAAACTCCATGGCACCCCTCCCTAGCCCACAGCAGAGAAAGAGGAGGAAAACCCCGAAGGCAGCCGAAACCTAATAAGTCGCCCAGCGGGGAGCACAGAGACATGGTAACTAGGCCAAGCTGGCATGATTATGGGGTGCTCATGAAGGAGGGGTTCCTGTTAACAGTGCCATCTTTAGGTTTAGACAGAGTGGGGTTAAAGGGTGGGAGAAGTGAACTGCCTGATTCTTCCCAGAGATACAAAAAAGAATCCTCTAAACCACCTTGCTCTCCTCAGAGTAACAGGAAGCAGTTAGCAAGGAAGGTGACAAGGTGATGGGGGAGCTGGGGACACGTAAGGTAATGCATACTGGGAAGAGCGGGAGCTCTGTTCCGCCCGTCTCCCTCCCAGGGTCTAGGGGTGAGGTTACCCTTCACAAAGGTAATTGGTACCTGTACTGGAAGCTGGCAGAGGGGAATCAGGCATTGTTCCTGCTCCCTGGGGCACCCCACTGTTCCCAGGGCGTGTGGGCTCCTCGCGCTGTTAATGAAGGCGTCCCATTCCCATTCCCAGCCAGGGAAATTAATTTAGATTGGATTTTCTCCTGTGAGGGCTGCCCCCCTCCTTTGCGTCATTACCATAATGAGATGGAAGTGGCACGGTAGTTTAGCGACATTAGTCAGGAGAGTGTGTTTGTGGGGTGAAAGCTACTCAGGCAGAGCCGGGGTGAGGGGGGTGAGGGACACAAGGGGCAGGGCAGGGACCTGGTGGTTCTGGACTTGGCTGAAGCCTGTCCTTTCTGGTTTGGGACAGATGACAGGTACCCTTTGAGAGGAACACATGTGAACAGAGGCTGGGATGGACTTCCCGGTAGCCGTGGCCCGAGTCCTCCTGGGAGACCAGAAGTGAGTCTGTTTCACGTGCCAGCAGGAATGGCTGGTCCTGCGGCTCAAAGGTTCTGAGGGCACAAGGCAGGGCCACCCACCTCCTCTGCTTCTTCTCCAGCTCATGGTTTCGGACCTGCTGGCCCTCCAGGTGCAGCTTGGTGTCCTGCAGCTCAGCTGTGAGTCGCTGGCACTTCTTCTTGAGCTGCTGCAGGGCCCGCTGGCTCTCGTCACTGTCTGCTTGCAGGTCCCCAAGCTAGAGGTGGAGAGACGGGTGCACGGTCAGCAGCCACCAAGGGTTTAGAAGTGGAGGACAGGATCAGTGACATCTTCAGAACCTAAGGGGTGATTCCCTGAGGGGGGGTCCCAGCTGTCCCTTCAGGACTGGCTGACACACCACTTCCCCTGTCCCTCTCCGGCTCTGCCTGCCTTTGGCTGCTTTGCCAGTAGACATGGCACTGAGCCCCAGCCCTTCGAAGACAGGCCTCAGTTCCCTGGCCAGCCTCACCCGTCTCTCTAGCTGCCTCCTGCTTTGCTGCTCCACCTCCATCTTGTCTTCCAACTCCTGCTGGAGCCGCTTCTTGGTGAAGTCCACCTCCCGAACAGCGCGCTCATACTTCAGCCGCCACTCTCCCCCTGCAGGGTAGGGGGAGACCGCTTCATTCAGAGCTGCTGAGGGTCCCCAGGAAGGGGCAGGGGACAGAAGGAGAGGGGTAGGAAGGAGGATCGGGTGGAGTCCACTACCAGGGGAGAGTCTAGAGAGGGTGACAAGGGGAACCTGGGCTAACTACTCCCTAGAGGCCGCCAGATCCATGGCCCTTGTCACTACCATAGCGGTTCAACCTGGTTATTTTCAGCACCTTGACATTGTAGTTTTTGAGGTTTTTGTTTGTTTGTTTTTTGAGACAAGATCTCAGGCTGTCCTTAAGTTTATTATGTAGTTGGTGACCTTGGGCTTCGGTCACCCGGGATTATAAGCATGAATCACCATGCCTGGTTTTAGCAACTCTACTTTCTCATCCATTCACTGTGTTTTAGTATGAAAACGGCTCACAGAAGGGAGACAAGTCCGGACAGGGTGTGTGATTACCCAGAGAAGGAAGGGCATCAGGCCTTGCCATTCAGGCCCGCCTGCCTCCTCCACTTGGGACCCACCTGCATCGTCGTCATCCACTTCCCCGTTGATCTCTGCTGCCCGAATGAGCCTGGCCTCCATCACCTCCATTTCCATGACTTCCATCTGCTTCTTTAGTGCATCATACTGGGTCTGAAGGAAACGGCTTGTTAGCCTTGCAGGTCTTTCCCTTGCCTGTCCTACCCAGTGTCCTGAACCACACAGGCCACACGCTTACCCCAAGCAGACAGAGATGTCGAGCTACTAGAGGCTTTGGGGAAGCCGAGTGTGGCGGTCACTAGCCTGCTGTCTTCACCCTGGCCCTGCTCTCACCTGTAGCTCTTTCATTTCCTTCTCGGCTCGGAGCCTCTCGGCTGTCTCTGCATCCAGCAGCTGGGAGGCGGACTCTCCTGTGTTCCGCTCATCAGTCAGCTCCGATGTCAGCTCTGAGATCTGGGGTTGGGGGGGAGGGTCACCAGTTGAAGTGACTGCCTCACTCAGCCAGAACACCAGGGCTCATGGGTCAGGGCACTTTGGGACAGTGGGCCAGTCTGTCTGGTGACTGGAGTCACCCACCCGGGACTCCAGCCGGTCACTGTTGAGCCGAAGCTCATTCCGTTCTTTCTCCACCTTCTCAAGCTTGCTGCGCAGCTGCTGGATCTCCTCCTGCGGGACACAAGGAGACAAAGTGAGGCTGAGGTGCTAAGAGGGGTGAGGACCCCCCCATCAGGACTCCTAACCCCCAGACTCCTCTCCACAAACAGCAGATGCCTACGGTTTTATCCTAAGAAGCTATGGAGGGTCCATCCTGCACTCCACAGGGATATGTGCTTGATGGGCATAGTTCAAAGACACCAGTCCTTCCAACTAATCCTAAAGCACCTTAATCCAAGACAAGCCAGCAAGACCCTTGTGTACATGAGTCCCTCCCAGGACCCAGCCTGCCGGGAAGTCACGCACGTCTTTGTTGCGAATCTGTTCTTCTGACAGCTGGACTTGGATGAGGGGCCGCACAGTGGTGAAGAGCTTCCACCAGGGCCAGTCCTTCACCCCTTTGTTCTTCTTGATGTTCTTCTGCACACAGCGGATGGCCAGGTCCTGGATCTGCAGTTGGGGTTGTCACATGATGGACCTCCCGCTCCCTTGGCCAAGTCAGTGCCCACCAGCAGCACAACCGCACCAGCTCCCCAGACCCTGCTCATGCCCACTGCCCCACCCTTGGAAGGTGGGCAGTCCCGGGAGGGAGCAGTGCAGGGGGCACTCGTGTCCCACTGTCATTAGGAATAATTTCATCTGCTTTATTTGCTGCCTGATTATTTCCAGCACCCTGGCCTAGCTGTGCTATAAAACCTAATCTTGCTGAAACACAAGAGGCGGCAGTGCTGGCTGTTTTATGGACTTGCTAATAAGAAAAGGAGTCGCTGACACAGCTCCTTAATCTTCATAGAGCAGCCCATGAACCAGAGCCCACCTTTGCCTGGGCCCTGCTTCCCGCCCCCACTCCCGCAACACAGCCCCCTGGCCAGGGCACATGCCCACGCTGCTGGGCACTCAAGCATGCTCCCCACTCTGGCCCAGGCATGGTGCTCTTGGGAGGTTCCCACCTCCTTCCCAGATGATGATAACTGCTTGGTTTCCCCGGCATGCACCCTGCATGCCCCCCCCCCCCCGCACTGGCACTCTGTGTGCCATCTAGGCTGGGGTGTCCCCAGAGCAGCACCTTTCTCTTCTTGAAATGCTGGCGGGCAAGATAGCCTCTGCATGCCGCTTGGAACAGGGTCAGGTGCCTGCTGGTTTGCTCATCTCGCTGCTCTTCCAACCGTGCCAACGTGCCTGCCCGGAAGAACACCTGTCGGAGAAGCAGCCGGGTAAAAGTCGGAGATTGAACTGGGGCGGCAAAGAGAGAGGAACAGGCAGCTGGCACAGGGAGCCAGCAGGTGAGGAAATATGGATCCTGGTTCAGGAAGAGCCTGAAAATCCACTTGCCCAAGGGTGGCGGGGAGGAGCCCTAGCATGGCCCCTGGGGATGGGCCAGGCCCAGGTAGAAGGCTTTGGGTCTAGAGGAGTGAGGTGGGAAGTCTGACTTCAAAGGAGAAATGACAGCAGCACAGTGGACAAGGAGATACCTGGGGCCAAGAGGAACAGGAAGCACTCACTGGCCAAACAAGGAGGGGAGGTCCTTCAGCTAAAGCTGTGATACTGTCACTGTGCCCGGTGCCATGGCCCACTGCAGGGCCCGAGCACAGCTCCAGCCATCTGGGCTCAGGGGGAGAGTGAGATGGTGTGTCTGGATGGGAGAGAACCTAAGAAGCTGTCTGTGGGGGAAGACTAGAGTGGGGGGCGAGGCTTCTGCCCTTCTGCCCTCCTGCTCAGCTTCATTCCAGCTACCTCCTCTTTCATGCCAGGGCCCCACCCCTACCCCCACGTTTCACACTCTCATGAAGAAGCTGGTGAGGTGGGCGTGAATCAGTCCCAGCAAGAGACCTGTCATACAGGTTTGGGGGCTGGAAGACAGATGTGTGGGAAACCTGCTGAGCACCCTACACCCAGCTGTTCCTCTCATTCTTTGCTGCCCTGTGTTGGCCTTGTAAGAGACATGGAGCAGGGTGATGATGGCTCTGGTGTCCTTGAGAAGCAGAGGAGCACAAGGTTTATAACCAACCTCACCTGATACAGGTGACACACACACACACACACACACACACACAACACACACACACACACACACATACACATGCCTCCTTCTTAGGGCCACTGAGATGGCTCAGCCGCCAAGCCTGCCACCCTGAGTTTGATCCCCAAGATGCACATGGTAGAAGGAGAGAACTCACTGCTTCAAGTTATCCTGGCCACCACACGTGTGCTGTGGCATGCACACATCCATAAAACAAGAAACAAACAGGTAAGTAAATAAATGTGATTTATCCTTGAAAAGAAAGACAGTTTGGAGAGATGGCTCTGCAGTTAAGAGAACTACCGCTCTTCAGGAAGACCTGAGCTTGGTTCGGAGCGCCCACATCATCAGCACAACTGCTGTAACTCCAGTGCCAGGGGATCTGACGCCCTCTTCTGGCCTCTGAGAGCACCTTCATACACATGGCAGACACACACAGGCATATCCACACGTAAGCAAGCAATATATCTTAAGAAAGAAAGAAAACAAAATTCCCTTTGTGGGACAGAGATGGGAAATCAAGAAGAACACAGGTAATATATATAGTCCTGATAGGGGAAGGATCCCAGAGTTCCCTTCAGGGAAGAAGTAGGGAGAGAGCCCAAACCCGATGAGAATGCTGCATCTGCTCACGGCACAGAAGCCTCATCCTCTGTGACTAGTTTTGGGAAAAAAATCCAGCTCAGTCCTTGTGATACTGCCCCAAATTCTACAAACTGGCAAAGTGGGGGTTCCCATGTATCTGAAGTCTGACTCACACCTCAGTTTCCAGTAATATATATGTGAGGCCCTAAGGGACAACCAGTTTGTTCCTAGGTCAAGCAAATATGCTTGGTTAGCAAATAGGGAAGCAGGGGAATACTGGTACAGAGAGACAGAATGGCTCGGAAGCACAATGAGAGAGAATGATCTAGGCCAGGAGGTGGGGGTGGCACACACCTTTAATTCAGCACTCAGGAGGCAGAGGCAAGAGGACCTCTGAGTTCGAGGCCAGCCTAGTCTACACAGTGAGTTCCAAGACAGCCAGAGCTACATAACAATACCCTGTCTCAAAAAAACCACACACACACACATACACACACACATACACAAGAATGGTCTACAGACACAAGCCTCAAACCTCTTGAACATATGCAGAATTGAGTCCTTTTAAGGAGACCTTAGGAGATGGCTCACCCTGCTAAATGATTGTTACACAGGCAAAAGGACCTGAGTTCAGATCTCCAGCAACCACATAAAAGCCAGGTGTGGCCATAGTTATCTGTAATCCTAGTACTGGGGACTGGTAGGGGGCAGAGAGGAGGTCCTATAGCTTGCATGCTAGCCAGTCTAGTCAGTGAGTGAGTGCCCAACTCAGTAAGAGATCCTGTCTCAAAAATAAGGTGGAGGGGTCTGATGAGGTGGCTCGGTGAGTTGGGTCACTTGCCACTAAACCTGAGGACCTGAGTTTGAGCCACAACACCCACGTGATAGAAGGGAGTAACAAACCTCTGACACAGGGTGCTCATAATACCCCACCCCACACCCCCTCTAAGTAAATAAATGTAACAAAAACAATAATAATAAATAAGGCAGAGAACAATGCAGGAAGATGCTAGATTCAATCCCTGGCCTCTATTCGACAGAGTTCACTACAAGTACATATGTGTGAATACACATTTACACACATACAGAAAAAAAATTTAGGATCCTTTTGAGTAGAGCTGAAAGACCACGGACATCTCCTTCTCAAGTTCCCATGAATACAAACTTGACAGCGTCAGGAAGCTCTCAGACCCCAGGCTCTTCGCCTGGCCCTCCAGGGCCCAGTGGCCTCCAGTGAGGCCCCTCCACTGAAGCATTATGAACACCCAGTCCTTGCCTACCAGCCAGTGCTAAGTGCAGCCTGCAAAGCTAAAGCAAGCATCCAACCTTGCCCCTTTTCCCCCTGTGTACCAGGAGGCCCTGTGGCTCACCTGCCTCAGCTTGGCACCAGGGAGGAATCAGGACAGCTGAGGGTCTAAGATGTGGCCAGAAGAAGGCCAACCTGTACAGGCCTGTTCCTGCCTGAGATGTGTCTGGGAACCTGGGAACTGGCTTAGAGCGCCACTCCCAGTACCAGCCAGCAGTGGCCCAGCCTGCTAGAGGGGTAGGAGCTCATGGAAAGGCCTGGGTGTGAACTAGCCACTGAGCAGCTGAAGGAATGGTTTTGGCTGCAGGCAGCCCAGCTGGCTGCCTCTGAGTCTCAGAAAAAGGGCATGCGCGTGCATGCGTGTGTGCATGTGCGTGTGTGTGTGTGTGTGTGTGTGTGTGTATGTGTGTGTGCTGGAGGGTGACCAGAGAGAAAGGAGAGGAGCCAGATGTCATAGACAAAGACCAGAGCAGAAAAATGACACCAAAGGGGTGGGAACAAACACAAAATAAGGAGAGAAACAGGACCAGAAACCAAAAAGGGCAGAAGGGACTTTGAGGACCCAAGGGAAAAAGAGAAAGCCAAGGACATTAGACACAGGGAGCGAGGGTCAGGAAAAATCAGGACCTGCAGACTAAGGGACAAGTAAAATGTATGTCTCTCCCTCCACCTCACACTGTGCAAGAGGCTTTGTGATCAGGGTCCCTGTCTTCTCTGCTGACAGAGGAACACATCTGTGACTCTTTGTCTGGCCGCCCGCTGCCCTTCCTCCATGCCAATTCCCAGCACACTTTTGAACACAGCCTATTCAAGCTTTTTAGCTAGGGGAGAGGTGGGCAAGGCTCCCTGCCTATGGGAAGACTGTTCCTGGACCCTTTGGTATGGACCAGGGCCTTTTCTGCTACATATTCCATTTAGATGAGGAATTTGGCCTGTGGGCAGGTTGTGGTGGCTCAGCTCATCAGTCTTCACTTGCTCTTCTGCACCCTGGGAGCACTCTGGAGTACTCTTCCTACTACCCCTGGCTTTCCTCAGCCCCTGCCTCCAAGCCCAGCCCCCTCCCTCCAAGCTCAGCCCCCTTCTCCAAGCCCAGCCCCCTCCCTCCAAACCCAGCCCCCTCCTTCCAAGCCCAGCCCTCTTCCTCCAAGCCCAGCAGCCCTTGGTTTCCTTAATTCCCTCTGTGGTTTCCTCAGTTCCCTCTGCGTCAAACTCAAGGCCATGTTTCAGCCCACTCCCTCCTGACACCACAGAGGTTTCAGAGTCCTGAACCAGTCAGCTATCCTGGCAAGAAAGTAAAGTTTGCTGACACTAGGATATCTACACCCTAGCTTCTGTCTGAGAACACGGAGGGAGAGCCAGCCACCTGACTAGGGCCTCCAGGAAGCGAACACCTGGCTGCCCACCTGTGCATAACTTACCCGACTCAGGCCCATGCAGCAGCTGCTCTTCTCCAGGTCCAGGGACTCTAGCAGCTCCTCCACAGCCTGAGGAGAGAAAGGCTGCCATCAGGTCCGATAGGCTCTCCCCATCTCCACTTCCTGGGCCCTCCCTGGCTCCCTCCTAGAAACCCCATCATTTCTTCCACGAGCCTCTCAGGTAGGTTTCCATGATGCCAGCCACTATGTCCACTCTGGGGACCAGAGGTGACCAGAAGAAGAACAGATGGTGTTGTTGGAGAGTAAGATAAGTGGGGGGCAAGACAGGTGCAGTACATAAAAAAGGCATGGGGTTCAGTCGGGGGTGGGGACCCCAGAGGAGGACTGCCTTACCCGAGAATGTAACTACCAGTTACGCCTCCAACTTGAGCAAAGGACTGGGATCACAGGCGGAGGGTACATGTTGCAAGAGTGAGGGGGTGGGGATTAGAGTGCAACCAAGGTGTGAGGAGCCTGGTGTGCCTGGGAACTCTGCACAGTCCTCTCAGGAAGGGCCAGAGACATCTCAAAAGGTCAGTCACAAAAGCAGGGAATACGTGAGAAAGAACAGGCTTGAGGGCAAGAGAATGAACGGACCGCATGAGCTCAGTCTGGGGTAAGACACAGGAAAACCCAGAAGGCAGTGAGAGGAGCATGCACTCGGAGTGTAGGAGGGAGATCTGGGTCAGTCAGTGTCTGTGTGGTAATCGAAGTGATGGGTGCGAATGAGGTTGCCCAGGAAGACAGAGAATAAAAAAAAAAAAACAGAGTCACAGAGTATTGAGGAATGAAATCTTTACTGAAGCAGGGAGCGGAGAGGAACAGCATGGTGGCAGATGAGGCAAGCAGGAAACACTTCAAAATACCAGTAAAGTCGTATGTCAAGAACTCAAGGAACAGCCAAGCAGGTGGCACACACCTTTAACTCCAGCACTTAGGAGGTAGAGGCAGATGGATCTCTGTGAGTTCTAGGCTAACCTGGTCTACAGAGTAAATTCCAGAAGACTCAGGACTATATAGTGAGACCCTGACTTTAAAAAAAATGCAACTGAAGAGATGGCTCAGTGGTTAAGAGCACTGACTGCTCTTCCAGAGGACCTGGGTTCCATTCCCAGCACCTACATGGCAGCTCACAACTGTCTGTAACTCTAGTTCCAGGGTATCTTATGCCTTCTTCTGTCCTCCATGGACATCTGGCACGCAGATTGTGCACATGCATACATGCAGGCAAAACGAACACATAAAAATAAATAAATAAATAGTTTTTAAAAAAAATTCAAGGAACAGGGCTGGAGAGATGGCTCAGAGGTTAAGGGCACTGGCTGCAGTTCCAGAGGTCATGAGTTCAATTCCCAGCAACCACATGGTGGCTCACAATCATTGGTAATGAGATCTGGCGCCCTCTTCTGGCCTGCAGGCATATGTGCAGACAGAACACTATACATAAAGGTAACAGGGAGACCAGCCCCAGAGTACCAGGGTGGAGAACAGGATGCTGAAGTGGAAGAACAAAGGGCAATAGAGCAGGAGCTGGGGGCAGGCAGATGTGGGTGGTCTCAGGCTGGAGAGCATGCGCTGGACAAAGAGCCTCTTTCAGGTGGAGGCTGCTCTCTATGGAACTGTTCTAACAGAGAAAAGAAGCAGGAGGGAATGGATTCTAAACCATGAAGGAAGGAACTGCCCCAAAATGGTTCACTTCCATCCTGTTCCCACCAAGGCAGGATGGGGGATGGGAAGAAGGAAGAAGATGAAGATGGTAGAAGAAGCTAGACCCTTGGTTTCAGTAGTTTAAAGTCAAGGTCAGCTACTGGGAAGATGACCTGGGAAGGCAGGGGAGGGGAGGGGAGGGTAAGGTAGGGTAGGAGACTGGAGGAGAAAGGTGGTGAATGGGATAGCAGGCCAGGAGCTTGGTGCTGTGGCCATACAAGGAAGGACATGCAGAAGACTTACTACGCCATACCAAGGGCCCACCTAAGGTTGAAGACCACAAACCTGTAGGAACTCAAGTCTAGAGTTGTACAGCTTCTTTCCATAGCCCTTGGGAGTCTAATATGAACAGCGCAGCCACCCAAGGGCTGGCCCTTCAGGGCAGGGGTAAGACAGGGCTGTGGGAGGTTCAGGAGAATGGAGGGATGAAGGCTAAGTGCTGAGTAGGTTGGGCCATGGTGTCAAGGCTATGAAGTAAATGATGAAACAGAGAACAGATTGGGTCTCGACTTGCAGGGTCTCACTGAGTCCAGCTGCAAACTCCCTGAGCAGGGGACACTACAGGTAGGATGTTGTGATCAGAGAGATTCACGCAGAAATGACAGTCTGGGAAGGACAGCATTTCCAGGGAGACAAGCACAGCCTGTCACTGTGAGAAGGAAGCTGGGATGGAAGTCAAGGCCAAGGAGGAGTGGGAAGGTGGGATGCTAACAGGCCCGAGACCACAGAAATCTTTGCGGCTTCCATGAAATGTATGTCTGTGAGTCAGAGAAGTAGGGGCAGACTAGGCAATGTTGTGGGCTTTCCTTCCCCAGGCCACAGAGTGCCCTCCCTCCAGGGCAGCCTCCTAAGGACTGAGGTGCTCTCAGAGTCAAGCTGAAAGCCGGAGCCAGTGCACAGCAGAGGGGGTCTCCTCTATTCAAGGAGCCTTTGGCTGCCTGGGGGTTGAGGTGGCAGTGTAAAGTGATAAAGACACTTCTACAGTCATGGGTTCATCATTCTTGATTGTAAGAGGCCCACAGACATATGCTCCGGCACCAAAGTAGACTTGCCATCTCAGCCTCCTCCTAGGAAGGAAGCTTGCCCAGCCCTAGAGAGCTTCCTGCTTCAGGAACCAGATCCCGCCATGGAAGCTGAGGCTGAAGGACCCAGATGCCATCAGCAGAATACCCAAAACATAAATCCTAGTCATCCACTTGGAAGGCTCTGCCATGTTTACTCAGTGTGACTGTCTGGCTTCCTAAAAGCACAGACACCCCAATCTTTGACCTCCAATAGGAGTGGCTCCTCCCTAGTCCCTGCAGCTCATGAGCTCATGTGGCAGCCATTGTCACACTGCCACGGTGTTGTGTCTCTGCCCTAGCCCTGGTTGGCTGGAACTCTGTGACCTTGAGCAAGAGCCAGGCTGCAAAGTCTAGGAAAGAGAGGCAGAGGGAGTGAGTGAGTGAGGGGTCTGCAGAGATCCTGGAGCCCCACACCTACCCGCTTCTCATCCACCACTATGTAGTTGCGCCCATGCTTCTTGGTCAGGTGTGGAGCAAGGACATCAAAGCGACGGCGGAACTCAGAAAACACCATGTGGTCTGGGTAACCTGGAGAGAGAACCAGAGAGATCCATCAACACCTAGCTTGATTGGGTGGGGGTGAAGGGGTGGACAGGGAGGCCCAGAAAGGACAGGCCATCAGAGCTGTTCTACAATAGGATATGAAGGCTTTAGCTCAGGATAGAGTGTGGGTATGGCCTCAGGTTCCATTCTCCACATCACACACACAAAAAATAATTTATACATAGATGATAGATTAGATAGATAGATAGATAGATAGATAGATAGATAGATAGATAATATAGGTAGATAGAAATAATATGGCTTAGAAGTGGCGTGGCCAAGCCCACATAGCTATGAAAAGTTGGGTCTGGATTCTAGGCCAGCCCCCAGCTATCAACTGACATCCTATTGTTTTTCCTTATTGAGTCTCCAAGGTTTCAGTCTCTGCATCATCACACAGTCATGACGTGGGAGGGTAGAAAGCAGAAACAGAAGTCACCCAGACTTCCCAGCTGTCCCCATATCAGCTGTCCTCCCTGATCTTCATTTGGAGACCTTACTGAGTGGGGGCTCCCTTCTCTATCATGAGCTAAAACACACCCCAGGCCCACTTCACCTTTAAACAGGGACCCTGGACCTCATGGAGACCAAGCCAGGAAATATATAGTAAGTAGAGCTTGGCTCACTTGGCAAATGCTCAGAGAAATGGGATTTACCTGTCTCCTGTCAGAGCAGGGTCAGAGAAAGGACTCCCTCCTTGCCCTATCTTGACCTTAACCTGAAGAACCCTGAAATTCTCCTTTCCTAAAGTGTGTCTGGACTTGATGCGAGACGGCTTCTGGCTCGGAACACGGTCAGAATAGTGGATAGCAGGAAGTGACCCCAATGGTACTGATCTCACCAGGGTCCACAGTGGAGGGCCAAAAGGGCCACTCCTCCAGATCACAGCACTTCCAGACAGATAGGGATCTCAAATACACCCGCTTCAGCTTCCAGCCAAGGAAACTGAGGCCTGAGGTTAGAGCCATTGGGTTGCGGTCAGAGGCAGAAGTGGAGTTCACACCTAGGCCACTGACAGCCAGCTCTGGGAAACCCTCCAGCTGGGAGATGAGGCTGATGTATGTGCCTGATAATTGCAACAGGAGGCGGGGGCTGCTGAGGGGCCAAGACAAAGTGAGCTATTGATTGTATCTGAATTGCAATTAAATTGATGGGCCAGGATAGCAGTCTGGACGCCTGGCATCTTAATTAATCATCAGCGCTATCGATGGTGGCTGGGGGCCGGGGGAGGGGGAAGCTGCTGCCGTTGGCCTCATCGATCTGCTTGTTTGAGTAAAGCACATTGATTTTGGTTCAGAGCGGTAACAATCTGGTTTTGAAATAATAAACACCAACTCCATATCAAGACGTGGGGACAGATCGATGATTTATTTAGGACTGTGTAGGGAGCCTGCTTCCTGGCTTTCGCTGCTGAGGAAAAGTGAGGGTATCCATGGGGATACCTCAAGGGGACCCTTCTGCAGGTAGGTAGGACCCGGCCTGCACTTCTCGCTGGGGGGGGGGGGGGGAGAACAGAAACCTGGTACTTTCTTACTTCAGCTCGAGAGGCCTGAGGAGCCAGCCTGCCTGGCTGGCATCCAGCTCTGCTGCTGGGTGACCCTGGGCATGCTCCTTCACTTCTACGAACCTCGCCTCCTTATTTAGGGTTGATAATAGTTACCACCTCGTGAGGCGGCTGTGAATTAATGAGTAAAAAAGCTGGGAACAGGGGCTGGAGAGATGGCTCAGTGGTTAAGAGCACTGACTGCTCTTCCAAAGGTCCTGAGTTCAATTCCCAGCAACCACATGGTGGCTCACAACCATCTGTAAAGAGGTCTGGCGCCCTCTTCTGGCCTTCAGGCATACAGACAGAATATTGTATACATAATAAATGAATAAATAAATATTAAAAAAAAAAAAAAAGCTGGGAACAGCACCTGGCGAGCCATGAATTCTGAATGGATGACAACTGCTACTACTGTCATCCTTTCCCCTCCAGGAGGATTAAAGGATCCTGCTGACATTTCTTGGGAATTTTAAGTACTTCTAAGAGATTTAGCACCTGTTTTCCCCTTGGGTAGATGGCGCTGAAAGGGCACTGAGTTAGAAGGTCTGCGGCTACTGGCAGAGCTGACCCGCCCACACTAGGGATGATGGGCAAGAAGAGCTATGGGAACAAATGATAGGGCGTTTGAGACGGAGTGTGTGCGTCCGTCTGAGTGTCTATGCACACGCGCACACACACACAAACATGCAGGAGTAGGACTTGAATGAGAAAGGGAAAAGAGGAAGAGAGGAGTCCCAAAGTAGACAGGACTAAAAGCAAAGGTTGGGCTGGGACTAGGGCGGAGAAAGATCTCCAGCCAGTCCCTAGAGAGGACGGTAGCAGGGTGGCATCTGCCAGCTCAGGAAAGGGCACCAGAGCCTGGTGAAGGGGAAGGTGCCTCACCTTGGCGGTACATGCGCATTGCGTCAAGCAGGCGGGATCCCCGAAGCTGGGCACGAAGTAGGGACACATCCAGTTGCAGCAGCCCAGCCTCACAGGGGTCTCCTGGGGGCAGGTCCAGCTCACTGCTGCTGCTAACTCGGCGGGAAGAGGCAGCTCGGGGTTCCCCGGGCAAGCCCTCAGCCACAGGCAGGAAGCAATGTACAAAGTGCATCTTGGACCTCTTGATGGTGTCAATGAGGGCATCCTGCCAAAGGGAAAGGACCACCTCAGTGCCCCCATGTCTAGGGTCCAGAAAGCTAGCATCTCTGCTCCTCACAGGGTAGTAGTTGGTCTGCCCCTGCTAGGACATTGCTAAGCCCGGACAGTGCTGCCTTCCTCAGGCATGGCTGGCCAGTCTCAGTAGCTGCACTAAAAGGGCAATCGCACCAGCAGGGATCAAAGCAGGTGGATCTGGGTGGGCACGGATGCCATGAGTGTGCCGACCTGCCAGCAGAAGGAGACCTGGGACCTTGTTGGACACTCACCACTTGCAGCTTAATCTGTATGCACAGTGACTTCTTCTTGACAGCTGCCATGCCGGTGGTAAAGGTTTTCCTCATGCTAGTCGCCCGGCGCAAGGCCAGCTGGGAGCCACCCTCCAGGCCCGCGATGGAGCCTGAGAGCACCGTGGCGCTGCCTGCCCGGCCTAGAAACAAGTTGCTGATCATCTTTCTGCAGGGAGAGGAAGACCAGAGAAGGAGTTAGAACACTGGGCAATAGAAACTGCACTCACCCAACCCCACCCACAATATGGCTGTGGCCGGGTGTCTGGGCCATCTTTGCTGGAGCAGTATGTCCTAAACCTACAACAAAACTAGAAGAGAAAACTCAAGATAGACAGAGGCCATGCAGGCAAGGATTGGGCAGTGGCGGCAATCCACTCCTCTTCCTCACCAGCGAGGGTAGAGAGGGATTCTGATATTCAGTTCAGCGTACTACATAATTAGACTATGTGTTTCATCTCTTGTTCATTACCTCTCCCACTGGAACGTAAACTCCACAGGGCAGGGGTGTCTGCTCTCTTCATGGCTAACCGCCTAGCACCTACAAGTCCCTGTCTACAGAGGGCGTAGCTCCTAATCTCTGACATAAAGGAATGGGTGCCAGGGCTTATGTGATTTCTGAGATTTAAAGTTATTCTTGGCTTTTAAAATTTTGTTGAGGGGTCTGAAGAGAGAGCTGACTCAGTTCCCAGCACCTATGTTAGAAGGCTCACAACTGTCTGTAACTCCAGCTCTGGGGGGATCTGGTGCCCTTTTCTGGCCCCCACAAGTACCTGCACTCAGGTGCCCCTCTCCTCCCCCTCATATATATAAAACTAAAAAACAAAATCTTTTAAAAATGTAGCCAAGGACGACCTGAACTTCTGACTCCCCTGCTTCTAGTTTCTGAGTGCCACCAAATTTGCCGACTGTGGTGTTTCCACTTTCTCTGAAGAGAGTGAGGAGGGAGCTGTTCCAACTGAAGACTGCAGGTCCCTCTAAGTGTGTGCCTCCCATCCCTATCTCTGCAGGTGATTCCTGTGTCTTCAAGGCCACGTGGCCTTGACTGTTGTCTCCCTCACGTCACCAGAGGAAGGGAGCCCAGACAACAGTTGTGGGGACAGGATATGAGATGGTCTTACTTCTGGGAATCCTGCAGGAGCCGGGATGCATTCTGGGTAGCTGGGTTCTGCTTGGTATAGTTCAACCAGCCAGTCGCATTGTACTCCACCCAGTTGGTACCGTGGCTGTGACCCAGGAGAAAGTGCCGTGGTTTGCTGCTGCGCAGTAGAGGACTCTGGCCTGAGGGTGCATGAAGCCAAGTTCAGGGCATCAGGGCACAGACACAGACTACAGCTACAGAGTGCCGTGCCACCCGGCTCTCCCAAAGCAGGAAGGCGGTCACTCTAGGCATCACCTACCTTTTTTGTCACCTTCCTGGGGGCCATAATAGGAGAAAAGACGGTCGAGGAGAGCATCCTCGGTGGCACCCGGCACCAGCGCCTCCTCTTCCAGCAGCCATAGTAGTCCCCTTGCCTCATCAGCATGGGCTAGTGAGCGGACCTAGGACAGGAGTAAAGATAGAGCTTTGCCATGTGGGGTTGTGCAAAGGAAACGTTCCCTCCCAACAAAACACCATGGATAGCTATAGTCAGTCACACTTGCTTGAATTTGAACAGTGTGGCGCTAGCTGCTCACCACTGACACCTTGTGGAATAGATGGGCATAGAAACCAGCTGAGAAAGAACTCTTAAGAACTCACTACAAAAGAAGATTGCTGGGGCTTGGGGTCCAAAGGTACCCAGAACTAGTTTCTTCTGATTTGTACTCATATTTAGAGCTTCCCCTCAATCGTTACCCCCTCAGAGATCGCAGGAGCGAGGCCAGCCCCAGGCCTCACTTCCCAGCAGCTTCAGCGGGACAAAATCTATGTACAGCAAAATCTCAAAGGAGGCCTTCTCTGTTTAGTTTGAAATAGGGTCTACTGTGTGGAGTAGACTGGCCTTGAACTCACAGAGATCCACCTGCCTCTGCCAGAGTGCTGGGATTAAAGGCGTGTGCCAAGATAGGCTAGCTCAAAGAAGGCTCTTAACAATGGCTGTGGAGCTAGCACTGGTCCCCATGGGGAGAACCCAGAGAGTGCCCAGATTGCTGCTGGCTATAAACTCAAGGACCAAAGCCCCGAGGCAGGTGACTCTTCATGGAGTTTGTGGACAACAGAAGCAGAATGGGGGAAAGCAAGGTGTGTCCCCATCTGAAGGGAATGACTGACTGCCACTCAAGCAAGACTACCGTCCTGGAAAAACACAACTAGTGAGTGTTAGTAAGTATTCTGTGTGTGTGTCTCTCTCTCGTGTGTGAGCACATGTGAGCATGCATGTGGAGTCCAGAGGTTAATGACGGTGTCTTCTTCAACTCGTCTCTACCTTACTTATCGAGACAGGTCTCTTGTTTCAATTTACCAATTTGGCTAGTCTGGCTAGCCAGCTTGCTCTAGGCATCTCCTGTCTTTGCCTCCTGGGTGAATTCCAATCCTCATGCTTACACTTCAAAGAACCTTACCCATGCCTCTGAGTCTTTGGTTTTTCAAGAGAAGGTGGAATTCTGCATCCTAAAACCCCATAAAGACCTAGTAAACTAGCCCTGTGGCCACATCTGGCCTGAAGGTAGGTGCGTGCGTGCGTGCGTGTGTGTGTGTGTGTGTGTGTGTGTGTATGTGTGTGTGTGTGTGTGTGTGTGTGTATCTCCCTTATCTTCTTTAGACAAGAAGAACTGCCCACACCCCATGCTTACCTGGCTTTTACGGCCTGGCAGACAAGAAAAATAAGTGCTATTTTTCCCTCTCTTTGATCTACTGCCTATATCTTTTCCCCACAGGGAGGCCAGTGGGTGGGGACAGTACTCTAATATCTAGAGATGAGTGGCTGGAAGGAGTGACTTGGTATGTGGCACTGGAGACCCCCTCTTCCCCAGAACCATCAAATAGCAGAAACCTAAGAGCGAGCGAATAGGATGACTGATTTGCAGCCTAACACAGTCTGCCCCCTGGTGCTCATGAGACACAAGGACAACTTCCTTCCATCTGAAGATGGCAAAGGCTCCGCAGGAGGACCACCCCAGGAGCTGGTGATGGGGACAGGAAATGCATCTTCCCCGGAGAGCCTCTTGGCGCTTTAAGCATTTGTGCCCATCTTGTGCTAGTCCAGCAGGACCTCACTGCAAGGCAACAAGGACCACCTAGAGGGAGCCTCAGCCAAACCAGAGCTCTGCTGCCCAGCATAAATGTCTTTCCCAAAATGCACAGGCCACAAATCCTCAAACTGAAGACAATCACCAAATGCCAAATGCTCATTGGGCCAGGCAGTGTCTCAGGCAAAAGATGCCCACGATACCAGTATAAAAGGTGACAGCGTGTTCCCAGGGGTGATGGGTGAGGGCCGACATCCTTGTCAGCCTGCCTTGGGACATTTTAAATTTGACAATGTTTCCCTGTTTAAGGGAGCTGCTGCCTCCTCTCCCGGGCTCTGGTGGACTATGGGAGGCAATGATTTTATCCTCTGGGTTTGGATTCTCGCCCCACATCCACTCCATAGCAGCAGACATCAGGGCTTGGGCAGATACACGGCTCAGTCAGGCTCAGGACAGGATCTGAGCCTCAGGTTGCAAGAGAGGAAGAACATTTTCTTGCTTGGTTGGGACTCTGGGTTATGGTCCCCACTCACTAGGCAGGAGAGTGTGCCACCTTCCCAGACAGACTGAGTGCCCACGAGTAGAGCCCTGTAGTTGTGCAGTGCATGATATGTGGGTGTGACCCTTCCTCAGCCCACAGTGGCAACTCCAGCAAGCAGCTCAGTTGCCAGATGAGTGGGAAAGAGTAGAGGCTAGCCCAGGCTTCCCTGGCATTCCTACCAGGGACTGGTGGGAAGTTTGGTCCACAGCAGCCACTGAGTCATCTGCGGCTGGCTCCAAGTCATCAAACGCCAGTTCGATGTTCTCCTAGGAAGGAAGGTGCAATAATAATAATACTCAAGGGGATACAAAGGGTATACGGCCACAGGAGCAGGCTGAGCAGGGCCTCTGGGGCAAATCCAATGCCTCATCTCCATGCAGGAGCCCCCTAAACTATCCCAAAGAACAAATTACTCACTGCCTCCCAAGGTAGTGCTCAGTATTTTTTTACAGCTAAAATTCTCATAGTCTCCTCTTATGCTAAACCGCAGTCACACGCTGATGCTGTTCGCAGCGGTTGATTTGGCAGTGCAGAATAAGCCTTCTCTCCATTTCACACAATCATCCTTAGAACTCATGGAGACAGTCACAGCCTTCCTCTGGGGGCTTCTTTCATTCAAGACAAATACCCTCCTCTACAGGAGGAAGAAATCCCAGAGACCTCTTCGGGAGGGGCTCAACAGCTAGCCACCATCTAAGCCTTGGATTCTAAGAGAGCTGGACAGGGATCTGGGAGAAGTACCCAGGAACACCTTGAGGCAGAAACTGCACTGTGGCAATTCACAGACTGAAAGGGGGGCTATAAAGAGGAAAATGAGACCTCCAAGGGACTTTGAATATGCCTTCAGCTTCCTGGAGCACAGACTGTCCACAAAATTTTTACTCTAGGGGGCTGGAGAGAAGCCTTAGAGGCTAAGCGCACTGTCTGTTCTTCCAGAGGTCCTGAGTTCAATTCCCAGCATCCACATGGTGGCTCACTACCATCTGTAGTGGGATCTGATGCCCTCTTCTAGCATAAAGTTGTACATCATACATAAATAAATAAAACAAGGGAGGCTAGAGAGCGAGGAATTAGTGTTATATGTGTCCAGATGCCCAGCCCAGGATGCCCTGGCCAGAGGTGAGCCAGCAGAAGGCTTGGGCAGGGCCCTGATGGCAGCCACCTACCTCCTTGTATCTTTCCAACTCCTGAAGGAAGGTGCGCTCATGGAATAGCCTCTGCAGCCTGTCCTGGGCATAGTTGTGGCACAGCTCCTCGAAGGAGGCTCCACGGGCTGACCCTCCCCTCTCAGGGTTCTGGAAGCCCGGCGTATCCACAATCATCATGGAACAGAGCGAGTGCTGGCTGGACTTGAGAGCCCTTAGCAGGAAGAGCCTTAGTCAGGGCTGGACGGGGCATTCCTATACAGTGGGCCCCACTTCCCTGCCCCTGCCATGTGACCAACCCCTTTCCCTACCCAGGGTTCCCTCACCTCTGTGGTGGAAGGCAGCGCTGCCTAAGCCACCATGCAAGCATCAACCCCACTTTTATTAAAGTAGAAAGTGGGGTGCCTCTGGGTTCCGTTTGACTTACCTGTTTACCAGAGAGATGAGGAGGGTAAAGAGCTCACTGTAGAGGCCAGATGCCATGCCCTCTAAGCACTCCATGGCACTCAGTTTGGGGCCTGTGGGGCAAGAGGAGCAGCCATAGCTTCAGGCCTTGGGTCCACCCACCTGCCCAGGGATGCTCTCTACCCACAGAGGTAGCTGACCTGGGGCTCTCCCCCTGGAAGCATCTATTCACTCCCCGTAGTCCTTCCCACCTCTGGGAGGGCAACAAGTCCCAGACAAGGCCTTCCAGTCCTACTCATTAGTCAAGGGGCCCCAGGTACCTGGGCCCTCTCCCAGGCCGCTCTCCTCGGGGCCCTGGCGGAAGGAGGTGGAACGTTGCAGGGTACCACCTTTAAGTTGGTGCTTAAAAATAGCCGAGGATAGCTCTTCCAGGCTGCAGCCCAGCAGGTATGCAGCTTTCTGGGCCCACTCATGGCGGGCAAACTGCTTGCGTCCAGCTGTGGGGCAACAGGGAGAAGAGATCTAGCATCTTAGGTACACCTTAGGACAACCCAAAACCACCGTGACTTCTGGCAGCCTCACCCCAAAGGATGGGGGAGCTGGCATCGTCCTGACAACACTACTTGAGCTCGACATGAGAACAGAACACCCAGCGGCTGCCAGTTTTTTCAGAGTCCCTTAGGGGAGGAAAGAAGAGAGGTCCTAAAAGAGGCACTGACTCCACAGGCTGCCACTAGAGGGCGCACAATCAGTTGCAATTTAATCCAGGGGTGTATAGCTTGAGTTGGGTGAGGACAGGGTTAGAGGAAGAGGAGGCCCACCCAGCAGGAGCACTAGAGCCATGTGTGCCTGTAGGGTTTTAGAAGCAAGAAAGAGCAACAGCACCTGTCCCTTCCCCAGATACATTAAGACACGCCCCCCCTTGCCCTAAGGGAGACCACAGACACCTTAATGGCTCAATAGTGGGGAGGCAACTGAGCCGCAGGGAAAAGGGAACAGCCCACACAGACATATGCGCCTGAGCCAACATGTGCCTAATCACAGCAATTAGGGAAAGCTAACAAGAAACAAGGTTTTTACCTTCAGCAGCTTCTGTAAGGCAAAGGACCAGCATGCAGCATGCAAAGAAAAACAGTGTGTTAGCAAACAGTCATCAACTGAGCCTGCCAGGCCCTCAGGAAGAGACTGTGGGAGGTAGGGGTTTATGAAGATGAGCAGGCAAGAAAGCACGATCGCATTTGGCCTTGAGATACAAAAGTACACAGTCTCAGAGGAATGTGTTTGTGGATGTCCTCACACTGACAGAGAAAAAGACATACAAAAGATTTCCTACAGTACATGTGGACACACACGCACACGACATGCATGCACACTTGTGCATACACCGCGCAACCCGCGCGCGCACACATACACACACACACCGGGAAACACTGGAAACTTAGGCGAGAACGAGGCTAGTCAACACTCAGCATATTCCACCTGCAGTCACAACTGAGAAGCAGAGGAAACTGGGGTCTGATTCCTCAGAACACGAGAACTTCTCTCAAGACACAATCACACGCCTTTGCTCTCTCTTGCCCTGGAGACTTAACCCAGCGTTGGTGCTTCTCGATGAGGTGTCATCTACCGGTATCATAAACCAGACACCCTGACACTTGTTCCTGCATGCGCCCACAGCCACCAATGCGTGCCAATGCCTGCTAAGCAGCACTCTCTTTCTCACATCTCCAAGAAGACAGCAAAAGCCAGAAGTGTCGTGCAGAGCCAGCACCCCCTTTCCCACAGCTGGAGAAAAAGGGGGTAAAGAGCCGCTACCATCGTGGCCCTTCAGCACAGTATCCGAGGAAGAGAACGGTTCTTCCAAGTCAGATTGTACAAGCATGGATCCCGAGTGCAAAAGCTAAAGTCCATCCATCACCGGGTGCCTGCTGCCCCCTAGTGACCTCCACCTTGACATGCAGGAGAAAGAGCAGCAACTACCAAACCAGTGAATTGGAAGATGGGGAAACTGGTCTCAGGAAGCCCCAGGTTCCAGATGTAAAATGGGAAGGAAAAACTGATATTCTGGGGGCTCAGTTCCATAGCTAGCAGGCTCTTCTTCTACCCTCAACACAGGGCTTCTCTTTAGACCAGTCCCCCCATGAGAATGAGCCCAGTGCCCAGAAGCCCAGGGAAGCACCAAGACGGTCAAGCAGGTCCCTACACCCGGAGGTCCACCAAAGTCAGTTACCAGTTTGCTCCTCAAGGGGCTCTATCAGGGAGGGAATGAGAAGGACAGTCACTCCAGGCACTGCTCTGAGGCAGGACCTTCCATCCCTCAACACCACACCCTAGCTGCCCACCCCGCTGCTCACTGTGGTCTGTCTTGACAGCTAAGGCCAAGCTCAGGCAATCATGGGCAGAGATTTTCCTCTAGCCTTCAGCTCCGATGTGGAGAACTGAGACAGGGTACAAGCCCAAGTGTGCACGGGGCAGAAGGTTGTCTGGTAACAGCTAAGTGTGCGGGACAAAAAAACGAACCACACACATGGGCAGGGACCTCAGAGGCATTCTGGATAACAGGACAGGCTGTCTGTTACCTTTGGTAGCTCCAGCCGCCCCCAGGTGGTAGATGGAAGCCAGTATGAGCCAACAGGCCTTCTGTTCCTCGGGAGAGATGGCTAGCACCTTCATGGCCGCCTGTAGCTTACTGAACTGCTGAGCAGCTTTCTGCTTCTCCTCGGGCTGAGGGAAGACAGGGATGCTGCCTCTGAACCTCTGATGCTTCCCTTCCAGCATCCCCCATACCGCTGGACCCTCTGGGATTGCAGGGCCATTCTGGAACCACCATGGGGAACCACCTGCCAATGGAAACTTCTAGCCCAGAGCCACCGACTTGGTCCCCACAGCCCAGCTCTCACCTTGGCCAGTGGCACAATTCCAAACACATTGTTCTCGGCCAAGTGGTTCAGGTGAAGCTCTGTCCTAGGGGTACAAATGAGGCATCAGCATGAGGCTTGATCCCCAGGCCAACGCCTTGTCCCTCTCAGGGGCGACAACTAACCACAGCCTCCATCACCCCAGTCACCCAGCCAGATCTGCCACCTTTCCTAACTGGACTGGATACCTCAGCAGACACCAGCCTCCCTAGGAGAAAGGGTGCAGTCAGAACCCTGGAAAGGGGCGGGGAGTCTGCCTGAAGGCACATCTAGCCAGGCCGGCCCATGCCTCTGCTGTGAAAGGAGCCAGAGGGTGCCTGGAGCCACCTGCTTGCCCTTAAGCAGGGAGCCAGTCTGAAGGCATATAGGGAAGAACATGGTAGGGCATCCGACAGGGAGCCAAGGGCCAGCTGGAGGGTACGGGAGGAGGCTTGGCTTCCAGACCAGTTCAGATTACAGCAGCTGCGAAACTGCAGGGAGCCATGCCACCTTCGTCCAGGTAAATTTCTTCCCCAGACCAGAGATCACTGAACATTGATGATCCAGCATGATCCCAAGATTTAGGGCCAAGTGAGTCCTAAATGGCAAGGCTCGAGTCTCTATCATCTCACCATCCCGAGGGCCCAGCTCGGAGCCAGCACACAGCTGGCAATGTGCACAGGGCACAGTGGGCCAGTGAGCTGGAGTCCAGAGTCCCATTGGAGCACACCTTCCCATCTCACCTGAGCGTGCTATCACCACAGGCCAGCAAGTAGTAGAAGACGTTGAAAGTGGCCTCGCTGGCCGGGCGTCGGGCCACACGCAGCTTCTCCAGGAGCATCGTCTGTGGCACAGCGAAGAGGAGGAAAATGGTCCCAGCCCTCCTACCCCTCAGCAGGAGGAACCAGGCCCTGGTCCTCCACGCCCACAGAAACATCAGAGCATCCTCTTCCTAGGTGCTCAACCACCTACCACCTCACTCCAAGATCAGAAAAAGGTAGAAACCAGAGCCCGGAAAAGAAGAAGGTCCCCAGCTCCCGGAATGGTGTAGGGTGTGCACTACTATGGCCAGCACCCAGGAACCAGCCTTCCTTGGGCGATAGATGCTTAAGGCAAAAAATTTCATTTAGGGGAAAGCAAGATGGCTTAGCAGACAAAACTGTTTGCCACCAAGTCTAACAACCTGGATTCAATCCCTAGGACCCACATGGCGGAAAAAAACAACTGACTCCAGAAAGTTGCCCTCTGACCTCCTTATATGTGGCACAGCATGCGGGTGTATGTGCATATACACACATATACACCAATAAGTGAATAATTTTTTTAAAGAAATTTTATTCAACAAAGCAATAGATTGGTGCACCTGGGCCTTTCTTTATTGCCAAGTGTATAGCACTAGCCTGAGAGAAGTCCTAAGTCCCTGGGTCTTGGAAAGTCGGCAGAGAGGGATGGGGATTCCAGCAGTAGGGTGTGGGCGGAGGAGAAGGGCAAGAGGTCTGGAGGGCAGAATGAGGGCAGAATGGAGACCAGCCCTGCCTCTGCTGTCACAAGCCTCCATTTCGCCAGAGTGGAGTCCAGTTAATGAGGCACTGGGGAGCCTGACTCCTAGGGCATGAAACCAGGGGTCCGTCTTTGCTTCCTAGGCCTGGGCAATGCCCCTTACCTGAATGGATGCTGAGGCCACCTGGCCAGCTTGGTCAAAGTCCAGGGAGAGAATCTGGGAGAAGCGGGTGGCACTGCCATTCATGATGGTAGGGCTGTTCCCGAAGGCTTCCAGGATGGTGTACAGGGCCTGCCACTTCTCCACTGCAAAGCACAGGCCCAGGGGACATCAGAACAACCAGGGGCAGCTTCCCCACAAAAAAAACAGGGCAGCTCCAGGATGCCCCGGACAACAACTGCCCGGGGATTGGGATATGTGAGTTCAGGGGTTAGGAGCCAAGGCTAAAAGAGGCAGCATTGAGGAGAGTCACCCTCCTTTCCCCACGCCCCTCCCCCACACATCTGTTTTCCCTGTTGCCCTGCCTTACCAGAAAACACCTTGCTCCCGCTGGTGCCAGCAATGGTGGCTAGATACTGCACCAGATGCTGAAAGCTGGTAGTCTTGCCACTGCCACTGCTACCCAGAAGGACAATGGACTGGTCCTGGCGGCTCATCAGCATTGCCCGATATGCAGTTTGGGCCACAGCGTAGATATGGGGTGCCATGTCCTCCCGCCGACACCCCTTGAACATGTGCATCACCTTCAGCAGGACAGGCACAGAGTGAGGGGGGCTTTTAGAGCTGGGCCCACCTCATCTCACCTCTAGGATTTGCACATTGCTGTGCCACCACTCCACAGATGCCCAGGTATTTAAGGCAAGGTCATGCATGGAAATGCAGACACCCGCCAACTCTATTAAAGATGGCAGGATAGCCTTCTGTCCCTACCCTCTTCCCAAGGTCAACTATGAGAGTGGGTGGGAACCCAGTGGACACTGGAAGAGAGAAAACCAGAAAAAGTGGGATGCAGGTGGGTGGGTCCCTAGGAAGGCACACCTTCTCTGAATACACAGCAGGGGCACCTCGGGGGCTGAGGACAAGCAAGCTAGGGCCAGCGTAGGTGTGTAGCAGGCTAGCCCCATAGCGCTGGCGCAGTGTGTGCAGGACGCTAGACTCGTTGAGATACACCAGTGAGGCTAGATCTTCTAGGCGGTCACACGAGGGAGCATTAGCCTGGGAAGAAAGACAGGGAAGATGCAGATCCCATCTCCATCACAGGGGATGGGCTTGCCCTGTCTGTGTCCTCCCTTGCCAGCAGCTTCCTTCCAACCTTCTCTATGTCGTCTTCATCCACATCCAGGATGGCTCCATCGTGGTCCAGCTTCACGCGCACCTTCCCCTCAGGTAGGCTGAGCTCCTCCGACTTGAGCTGGCTGGCTGCAGAGCAGGGATAGTTGGACTTGGGCCTGGGAAATTCGACTATTCTCCTTAGGCCTTCTTGGTCCTGCCTTCTTCCCTGCTGGTTCACCAGACCCTCCTTGCTCACTCCAGCCCTTACCAGAGGTAGAGGCATTTTCCATGCCAGCCCTAAGCCAAGCCCTGCATCCATCCCAACTGGCAGAGACTCACCCAAGGAGAAGCCATCCCTATGGACCAGCCACACCTTCTCCGTCTCATACCAGGCCTCTTCGGCTGCAATCTGCTCTTCCGTCTTGGCCTGTCAGAGGGAAGGGAGGAATACACAGACATTGTATTGAAATGTAGAGAGACAAGGACAGTGGGAATAAAGAGACAAGGGAGGAGCTATGGGCAAGTGGGAAAGTTGGTGGGAGACACAGGACAAGGGGGAGAGGGGAGAGAGATCAGGAAAGGAGGGAAGAAAGCCAGGGATGTGGAGGACAGACAGTGAGATTGGGATTTATACCAACTTTGAAGGCCCAGGGACACAGGAGCACTGTGGCCAAGAGAACTGGTTCCAGGAAAGTAAGTCACCAGGCTCCACCTCCAGCTGCTCTATCTCCTCCCTGGGAGACTGTGAGATCTGCACCCTGACTCCTGCCCCGAACTCTGGGGCCACAGTCATGGGTTCTTTCGAACCAAAAGAAAGGCCTCTTCCCCTAGGCTGGGAAGAGCCATTTTCTGCATCCTAGGATTCTGTCTTGTGGAATGACAAGAAGCCCTGGGCTCTAGCCTGAAGATGCTCTATGTGGGCAAGGCGATATTGCCCTTCTCCTCTACTTGGACAGTGCTGACTTGTCAAACACAGGGAGCATAGGAAGGGTGTGAAAGGGCTTGGACACCCCCGAGGTCCCCGGTTCTAAGCATTGTCAGTGTGGGGCTAGCAGATCTGATACCCTCAAATAAGAACACTTGAGCTTGGAAGCTGTGGCACCAGAGGAACCGGGACGAGAGACCTAGCTACCATGGTTATTATGCCCCATGGCAGCATGTGGGAAAATGTCAGCAATGTGATGACATCTTGAGGGAGGCTGGCCACCCCCAGAAGACCAGTTCTCAGGCTTGCACTGGCTGCAACTCTCCCCAGACGGCAACCCCCGCTCCAGATTCTTACCCTAGGTGTGTCCCTTTCTCATGAGACCCAGAACTGAGGCAGAGACACTGCTCTGTGATACTGAACCCTGGGTGAGGGCTCAGAAAATGGCAAGAACATATAAGCAGAGTATTCATTTTTAGATTTGAAAGGGTGAGAGATCAATAGGCTAATCATAACAAAGTGGTCAATGTTTTCATCTGTCAAAGTGAAAAAATTTTTAAATACTTGGTTTTTATCTTTTAATATTTGAAGGACTGATTTGGTAGTATTGGCACATGCCCTTGATCCCAGTACTCAGGAGGCAGAGGCAGGCCGATCTCTGAGTTCAAGGCCAGCTTGGTCGACATAGGTAGCTCTAGAACAGCCAGGAATACATAGAGAGACTCTCTGTCTCAAAAAAAAAAATCGCCAGGGTCTTGCTTTTTACAGATTACATGAACCAGCTAAAACTTTTGTCTCCAGTGACATGTTCTATGGCTAAGTGTTAGAGTGACATCAAAGGGTCACGGCCTGTCACTAGCCTCTTTAGGGATCATCTGAGAACATGTTTCTCACAATGACCATGAGGTGGAGACAGAGACCAGCTATCTCATCTTCAGGCAGGGGCTGAGGGTCTTTTGGGTTTTTTTTCTACCCAGAGCGATCTGGGCTTCAGTGGCTGAGAATCACACGTGGCAAAGCTGGGGCCATGATGCTCCCCAACGGCCACAGCTGCACCATCTCAGCTCCCCTGGGTCCCCTACTACAGAGTGGGAACCTGGAGGGAAAGAGGCCTTACACTCCAGCAGGAGGCCCGAGCACAGACGCCAGCCCAGGTGTAAGGTGGGGGTGGTGGGTTGTCACCGGAGAAAGCAGAGGGCTCCTGGGTGGGGCAGGAGCACCCTACCTGGCTGTGGGCAGGAGAGGCGGCCTCAGGGTCCAGCTACCAGCAGCAAGCAAAGAGAGAAAGAGAGAGAAAGGTGAAGACAGGTAGAGACCACTGCAGGTCCCCATCCGAGAGACACCCCTGGACCAGTGAGCCAGCACCCTGTTCAAGATACAGCATGGAGGTCAAGAGCTCTTGCCTGGGATTAGGGTGCTGGCCATTGCAGAGAAGCCAGACCAGAGGTGGTGGTTGGGGGTTTTTGTTATCATCAGACCTTTCAGAGACAAGGCTTTTGGGGGGTCACTCCTTGTGGTATCTGTCACTCAGCCTCTAGCTAGTCTCTCCTGGACTGGCTGTGCAGTCCATCCGGAGTTAATCTCCCTCTTCCATGCTCCTGGCAGACCAGGCCACCTCACAACACCCAAAGCCTGGGCCCCCTGGAATCCTCCTGCTTTTATCCCAGGACATCAGCCTCCCTGCGGCTATCGAACACCAAGAGAATGCGGTTCCTCCTCTCTAAACACATGCCCAGCGAGTACCACTCCCCATGCTAAGGGCTAGCACAAGGGCACCTACAGCCAAAATCTAAGATGCCTTCTTCATGCCCCGTGGCAAACAGAGGCATCATTCCACCAGCTCCAACCATAGGGCTGCCTGTCAACTGCCCAGTCCCTGAGCCAGCCTTCACCTCTACATTACAGCCTAGTTACTTAAAACCCTCAACAGCCTTTCTGGAAGAAATGGGAGCCAGGTGAGCTTTGAATGTTGCCAGTTAGAAATGAGAAGGGTTAATATCTCCACATGGGTCTAGACACTGGACACCAAAATGGGAAATACTGACTCCTGCCTTGCCACACACCAGGCCCTAATACCGATGAGCATCCTCAAGGCAGGAGACCAGGGCTAGAGAAGGGGACTAGATCTCCAGCTATGAAGGGCCCCTCCGTGGTCATGGCCCTGGGCTGTCTGGAGTATTAATACTCCACAGAGCTCAGCTTTCCAGAGCCATCGTGAGGGTTTGTGGACAGCCACAGAGTTCCCCTCTATCCTCTCTCTCTCTTTGTGTCTCCCTTCACACACACACACACACACACACACACACACACAGTCCAGGGACTAGGAACCCCCACACAAGAGAGGTGGCATTACAGAAGCTGTGAAGATCCTCTCAAGTCGCTGGTGTGCCTCCTCTGCGGGACTCAGCCGGACCTCATGGTCAGCTCCTGTCTAAAGGTTAAACCACTATTAGTTCTGGCTCAGGAGACAGCAGGAGGCACCACACACCAAGCTCTCAGCCCGCGGAGCCACTGAGACCCAATGCAGAAGTGGAGCAGCGTCCGGGAGACAAGCCAAATGCTAACTTGTGTTTTAAAACTCTATGAAACAGAAAAGGAAGAGGCAAATGCCTGTGAAGGCTGGGGTTACTTCTTTCTACTTCCCTAACCACTGTGAGCTCTAAATGGCCCTGTTACCCCTCCCCCCTATTCACTCTTGTCCCAGGATGTGCAAGAGATGAACTCCAGGCCAGGATAGCCTCAGCTTCCAACTCCACCCTCATGCATACAGAAGATGTAGAGAGCCAGAGGGAGCAGGCGACAGCCCCAGACAGGCACATGACAGTCCTTGGCTACTTAGAGGTTCCCTGAGAGACTGGAGTTCAGCTCCTACCCCAACCATCAGAGCAGAAAGTCCCTGCCAACTGTTTCCTAGGGGCCAGGAACACTCTGCCCCAATAGAGCAGGCCAGGAGGATGGGGAGGTGTGGCAGCTTGGCTTTCCTCTACATTTGGCAATACCCAGAAGGAAAGGGGGCAAGGCCACTTCCAGGAAAGATGGCTCCCAGGGGAAACAGTCAGTGAGTGCCTCAAGGTCCCCGAGGCTGTGCCCTGGCATCAACTTCATCCCTCTCCTTCGAGCTACTAGAAACCCGAGAAAGCTCATGTCTTTCTCTCAACATGTCCCGTAAGACCTCAGCAGGACCCGCAAGGCCAAGGAGCTTGAAAAGAACGGTGTCTAGTGCAAGCCCAGCTAAGGCTGGAGACGATGGGGTAGTGCAGACACAAAGGGGTTCACCCTGCCTACCTGCCACCTAGGCACGGGGCTTCCCAAGAGTCCCGTGGCCAGATCTGAAGAAGGCAGTGATGGCATTAAGAAGCATCATCAGTCTCAGTCTCACCGTCAGCCCTACCATTTGTGGGTAACCTGGTGCCAGGGAGCAGGTCTGGCATATAACCTATAACATATTTAATCAGACAGCCACCCTCCAAAGCAAGTATCACACTTGTTTGTAATTCAAAAATCCAAAGAGGCCAACAAACAAAAGGTTTTTCTCTTAATTATTTTGGTGGCAAAACCTGTTGATCTTTTATCCTCCTACCGCAAGAATACTCATGGGTTTGCTTTGGAAAATATGTATACCATAAGACATTCCAAAATATAAAAGTAACTAATTCCCAGTACTTAAGGCTTCACAGAAGGACTAAGGGCCCACATTATAACTCCCCACTTGACAGAGAGGCTCCTAGCGGTGGACCTGGCTGAAGTCTCCCACGAGTGTGGCTGCGGGTGTGAGCCTGGGCCACCTGACTTAAGAACACTGCTTCCACCCTGCACTCATCTGCCCAAGTTCTCATCTTTAGCTTTAGATGTGGTACCTCAAGCTGGCCTTGTATAGTTAGAGACCAGGTCTCCAGTCTCACGGGGAGGCCTGCAGCATGCTGGTTAGTGGTTCTCGTCAGCACCAGGCCAGAGCCCAGGCCAGAGCCCATTCTAGCACAGGGTTAATGAAAATCATGCAACCCTTGGGTCAGCACACAACCCTGGGCCGGCCTGGATCACATGAGGCTCCTTCAAGCTGGAGGAAGCCACCATGAGGATGCTTAGCCTTCAAGCAAGGGTGGTGAGGGACATGGGAGGTTAGTGGCACACTCGGGTACCTCCTGCCGCACACCGGAGTCTGGCAAGTTGGCCTGCTGCTCTCCAGAGTGGTTCGACTTCAGGTCAGCAGAATTTAGGTCAGACAGCCCTTGTGCTAGGGCTGGGGAGGACTGCTTATTTGGGGTTTCAGGCTTGGCTGGGGATCCTGCTTTCTTTGGAGCATCCACCACATCTGGGGAGCCTGGCTTTCCAGAGGAGCCTGGCTCCTGGCTGGGGGCCTTCTCTCCTCTCCCAGGAGGCTGCTTGCTGCGGGACTTATGGTCCTTGCCTCGGCCCCGAGACATCAGACTGCGCAGGCCGACGGACAGCTCGTCCTTGACAGCCTCCTTCTTTGTTTCAGGCTTTGGTGGAGCAGGAGGAGGAGGCGGTGGTGGCGGGGGCTTGGGGCTAGAGGCTGCCTTTTCTCCCTTCTTGCCTCGTGGTGGGTGCTCAGGGGACTTGGCTCCTCGGCCTGGAGGCTCCTTGGCATTGCCAGGCTCCTCACCAGGCAGCACCTTGCCCACCACCTTCCTCACCGCATTGGCCACCCGGTTCCGGGACAGACCTTGGGCCTCTTCATTTGGGCCTTCGGCTGAGGCAGCCCCCAGGCCATTCATAGTGAGCGTGGCTTCCGGGCTCTTTGCTCTCTGGGAAGTCTCTGAGGGTGGCGGGCTGGTGGCAGGCTGGGGACTTCTAGGTGGACCACTGCTGTCCTTAGTGCTGTTCTCTAGCTAGAGTCACATAAACACAAGTAGACATGAATAGCAACCCGCATCCCTACCCAGCTCATGCATACAGGACACAAGGGGTGCAGCCTCAGGCCCCAAGACAGAGCTTCCATTCATGCACGGAACAACACACAGATCCAAAAGCTCCCCTCCCCCATCTCTCCACCTTCTAGAGTCTAGACATGCAGACAGAACGAGTACATCGAAAATCATCCCACTGCCCACCCCCAGAAGGTGTGGAGGGAACTGGAAACACCAACACAAAGGGCCCCAGAGCCCAGCAGCACCCTAGAATTAAGTCTTTATGTCAGGGTCACAGCTGACACTCAGCAGGGCTGGAAGGTGAGGAGGTCAAAGTCTCAGGCCTGTCTCCACCAGTTTCCTGGCATCCCTATTTCTTCATCACTCAGTTCTCTAGACAGTCAGAACACAGCCTGACCAGCCTGAGGAAAGAAACTGACAAGATACTCCTCTCGAGCCAAGCTTCTCCCTCAACCCAGGTCCTCTGCTCCGTGGCCACAGTCACGGTCACCTTTACCCGCTGCAGAGACCCCAGTGCTGGTGTTGTTCCCTCCTGCAAACTTCCCACGGGTTTAGTCCTACTTCCCAGAGGGCATATGTGGAAATGATGGGGGGAAGGGGAGGCAACTCCGGCCCACAAAGGGTTAAGTACCCCAGTAGCCACAGCTGTACTCCCTGGAGAGCAGGGTCCTGGCTCTGCTAGGTAGCTGAGTAGCTGGGCGCTACCCAGACTCTGGGCACCCAGGAGTTGCCTGGTATACGTTGGCACTCTCCATGTGGGGTTTCCACCCCCTCCCTGACACTCTGCCAGGAACTGGCTGAGGTGGCCACTGGGAAGGCCATGATGGCTAATGGCAGGGCAGAGTTTCTTGCAAAGCTAGCCACACTGCCTGGGGGAGGATTCAGGTCACTTCAGGGCCAACCAGTGACGTGCTACTCACCAAGCCGGAGCTCAGGTCTCAGTCTCCCAGCGGCTATGATTTTAGATCACACCACTGTGACGATCTAGCTGCCATGCCTGGCTACAGGCTCACAGATGACAGACCGACCACATGCCGCCCACATGCCGAGGGCATCTCACCAGCTAGCACAGCTGAGTCAGAGGCCTTAGCTCAGGCCTCTGCTCTAGGGAGGTTCTGCTGCAGCGGTGAAGAAGGGGGGCTGGACTGTGGCTCTTCTAAAGCTTTGTAGGCCAAGAGTATTCAGGGGCATGTCAGGGTACTGTGGAGCTAGCCATGGCACCAACTGCCAGGTCTTTTCTCCCTTCTGACTCTTGGCTTCCCTCCTCTCCCCTCAGTGAAGATGACGTCATGACCGTAATTGCTAACACACACATAGTATTTTGCCTGCTAGACGCTCCCCTAAGTACTTTACATGCTATTTTTGAAAAAGA